GAATTGTGCGGAAGAGCTTGGGCATTTCGCCGCCACCCATCCGCCAAGCTTACTCCTGCATCGTATATAGACTCGATTAAGACGATACACTTTTAGGGGGTAGAGAGTTTTCCAGTTGCAGCTACATATAGAGTACTCCGCGTACACCGTAGCTTGAAATGTATTCTGCAACACAACGGGAAGATAATAGAGGAACGGCAGTCGCGCTGCCCCGACCAGTAGGGACACTATGGGCGGCCCTTCGGGCCGTGCCACAATGGAGAAAGAGCTTCCTGTTGTTTCATATTGCTTTTTTCTTATTCTGTTGTCAATCTATTTCCGCAGAAACCAGAAGGATTGCATATTCATTTGGAATGCATTAAGAATTATCGAAAGCCACCACAAAATGCCTATTTGTAATATTGTTTTCAATAGGATAGGAAAACCTCTCCTGGTTAGTAATGCTCATTGGGATTGGCTGCCCTAAAGAGAAATGAGGTTGCGATCAACACTGCTATCACTAGGGCACATGAGAATTGGACTTTTGCTTACGACCCTGACCACGATGTAATCCAGTCTCCTGGGAGTCATAGTTCGCATTTGGGAAAATCGCTTCCTGAAACCCGGAGTTATGGAATGTGGTAATTGAAAGGGATAATTTAATCTTCATCAATTCCAACCGGTCGGGTAGAGTCAAAAGACTCTATGATCCCCAACTTTGACCTTTCCCTTGGGATAAGTGGAGAACAAACTAGGCCTTATTTGGAGTTTGACAGCTTTAGCTCGCCGGACCGCCATCCCCGACCCGCCCCAGCCCAGTGGCTTGGTGGGGTCGAGCCGGGTCGAGGCTGGGCCGCATGGTCCTAGCGAGATTGGATTTGGGACCAAAGGGATGCTCCAAAGTTTCGAAAGGGCCCATTATTGACCGATTACTGGCTAACACACAAAGTACAAATGTGGATATCACTGTCCATCTGACCATGAACTCCCCAGCCAATTTTAGACCTCAAAAAAAGGTACGGGTCACGGCTTCGGCCCCAAACGCCCCGACAAAAAAGAGGCGCCGAATGACGCAAAGCCAGTCTCTTTCGGTTCGATCGTGCTCGATCGATGTACATGCTTGATCGATCGTACGTACCGTGGCTCGGGGTTGAGCAATATACTGCACTAGTCATGTGCCAGTTTGGTCCTTCTGCTTCTGTGTGAGTCCCGAAGATCCAAATAGAGTATTAATTTGATAGGCCCTGACGTTTTTATAATTATTAATACGAGGGGTACTTTTAGAGGTGCAGCTCTCTTACCAGACTAGGAATATACTCTGCTCGTCACCTCAAATATCCATATGTCATGGGAACAGGTTGCCTCTCAACGGTATCTTTGTAGCACACCGATCATGCAGCCTCGAAACGCCCGTCTCGCTCTTCCCGCTGATATTCCGCGCATATTTCGTGGACACTCTCACCCCCTTTCCACATGTCTATCCCTCCGAGCCCCAGACCGACTGTTGGATTATCGAGTTCCGAACTATTTAGATGTACTAAATAATTCCCCAAAGTACGACAAAACCCTCCCGACGGTGCGGTTCTGTACAATTCCCAGCTTTTACCCCCCTGTAGCGGTGAAGTAACCCAAAGCGATATCCCAGTCATTGTAATCCGGAACCTTTTCTCCAGCATTCCAGAAATGTGCGACGGAGACTCACATGAAGTGTTTGGAGGTGTAGATCACCAACCCTACCAACCCCAATCGAGGCATATTTCGCAGTCCTCAATTCCAGCCCCCACCAAGTTAGTTTCCTCCGTCAGTGCACATCCGCTGTCACATATCCGCCGAATCAGCCAAGCCAAGTCACGCTTTGTTTTGTGGTTTCAGGGTGATTGCATCGCCGAGCAACTCCGCCCTATTTTTTTTAGGTGTAAGCGGCAATGGCGGTCACTATATTATTAGTTGGCGCTGGGAAATTGTTTGTTCTGAAACTAGTGTGATAGTGATTGGCAACGCCAAGCTGTCAAACTTCCTGACGTTTGTCTTGGTGTTTTGGCTTGTAGATACAGATGCAGCAGGGAAGATCCATGAATGCTTCCCAGGTTCTTTGCTGAATCTTAAGTAAAGACATTTTGCCCCTTCAGCTGTCATATCCCTGTGGCAGTGCTTAAAATAGCTGAGCCACGTTGTGGCTAGGTTCATTTGGGTACATACCTTAGGCAGGGAGACCTTTTGCGCCCAATGAGAAGCTTTCATCCAGTGTAGGACCCTGATCACCTCTGACATGTTTAATAAAAAAGGGGGTGTGCGTCTTAAGTCTAGACCAAGCCATACAAATTCAGAAATATTTGAATATGGTAGTACTCCGCAGTCCGTACATTCGGAGTAATCCGCGATTTCAAATGTAACTAGGAATTATTATTTTTCTTAACTATATGACTCTAGCAATTTAGAGCCACTTAGTCCCCACGCTAAAAAGCACAGCGGCTAAACGGACAAAGCAAACAAACCGCGGTGGGAACAGGCGAGGGGTCAAATAAAGAAACACTATCCGGGGATGTCATGCCGCTGTTAGTTCAAATATCGGAGTACTGTCTAGTTTAGTTTTTGCGCCTTGAAAGAATTACAAATATTGTACCCCATACCAATGCCCTGAAGTCGTCTAGTTCGAGATTTCTTTGTTCTATGTCCAGGCAACCTAAATAATCTAATTAGCTCGCCACATTGGAGTTACCTAGGTACTTTGCGAATGACATTGCAGTTCGATACTATTGCTGCGGACGGCACGGCAATTGGAAGAATACGGAGAAGTTTGCAGATGAGATTGATCAGATTGATACAATGGTCAAAGTACACAATCGGATTGGAGTTGTTTGTGCATTAGAAAAACTCTACCTCTTGCTTCCCCGATATAGTGCGGATAGATAGTGGAACCGAGGAAGTATCCATGTGTACATACATACATGTTCCCCTTTTGTGTCAACGATAGTAAGAGATAGTATAGTATATTGTAGATCATGATACCTTCCCCCTTTTTTTTTGGGTAGTATTTGGACCGTTTTGAATATCTTCTTTGATCCGGGTTCAAGATCCACCGAGTAAATTGTCCCAAGAAACGCCAATTTAATCCACCGGAACGGGAGATGGACGCGTTGACAGCATCCTGGGTACGGAGTTCCTTTCCCCTGGACTCCCAGCACGGACCCAGGTGGGGGGGATGGTCACTAGCTTCGTGGCAGCCTATTGGGCTGTCATAAAATCACGAAAGATCCCCGAGGTCAAAAAGTACCACGACTAGCCCGTCGTGGCATAATTACTCGAACCATTTTGCAACCAATTTTCTTCCCCGGGAGAGAGTAGATCATGCCGTGGTATTGGGATGCCATGCACTATAATATCTCGATCTGTGCTAGATCGTTTTGAATGTCTCGCGCCTAAAACATACGCGAGAGCTACGGTGGTACCCTGTACTTTTTTTTTTAAATTATTATTCTCTTTTAGATTCAATTTGATTTGATTTTTGATCCAAGTCTCAATTCAGGGGGTTTTGGGGCTATACCCAGCTGAAGCCAAGGTCTATGACAGAAACCCGTTTTTGGCTTGCCACCCCGGAGTACAGATATTGAAGATCTACGCAATAAGCTCTGGACGGGAATAAAAAAGAAACAGTGACAGTTTATCGGCGAGTCATCTCCCAGGATCCAGGATGTTGGGCCATGCACAAGCCGCACCTTGATAGGTTCACGGGAAAGTGGATTCAGTTGGGTAGTGTCGGGGGCAGTTTGATGAGATCCGGAAGATCGAGTCCGAAATGTTACAGATAATATTTGACTTTAGTAATAAGTAATATAAAATATAAGATATAAAATTATAAATACTTTTAAGTAGATTTAAAGCACGAATTCAACCGGAACCTCCGAGACTGCATATTAGAAATATGTACGGAGTAGTATATATAAGAATAGAAATACGGCCTGTGCAGTGTGCCTGACAGCTAAAAGTGTTCCTGTTCGTGTTTATACCAACAAATATAGATCTAAGGTATTGGTTGCCTCGTATATTTAGAGATTTCGGAGGTATTTTGAACAATTTTGTGGGGGAATAATGAGCGCCACTAGGATTTGGTCCGAGATATTAAAAAAGAAAATACAAATATAAAATACAAATAAAATATATAAAAATAAAATATAAGAAATACTAAAAAGAAAAAAAGAAAATAAAAAAAAATCAAAAAAATCAAATAGAAATAGATCTACAAATAGTGGGAACAGGGATCCTGGATCGGGAGCCCAAGCTACGGCATGTCCTTTGAGTGCGCCAATCTCGCTGCATACGATCACAGTTCTGACAAGGATTATCCCTGTGGATTTAATTGACATTTTTTTTATAATTATTTTCGTGCTTTTGTCATTTAGGACTGAAATCTAGAACTGAAAAAGGCTTGCATATCCCCTAGACTTTTGGCCTATACACCCTCATCTTTTATTTAAACGATCATCCCACTTGATCGAAATTTCATTCTGAACTATCCCAACCTCAACTTTCGTTTGGAAAAATAAAAGTGGAGGTTTCCCTTTACCTGCATCCCCCGGTTACAAACAGTCTGCAGTTATCCGCTTTCTATCCTCATTGAGCTACCTGCACATTGTCAACTCGAACTGTGTGAGTACATCCCGCCAATTTCTAGTTCTGTTTGCAAGAGCTTGATTGGACCTCAGAGTGAGAAGGCCAGCGTTTGTCCTACCGGTTCCCGTACCGGAGCGGCAATGGGCTGTCCGTTGGTTCATAAACACCTCACCCGGGGACGAACTGGTGCTGCCGAAAATACTTAGATTCAGTTGGCTGACTGCAAGTCCAAAGAATTAGTATTCGAACCCCACTCGAAACATTATCTATAAAGAGAACACTCTTTCCTAGACGTGCAACAATCCCAGAACCAAAATCACTCTTATCTTGATACACTATCTTGACTGAGATTCAATTTTCAAGACAATTGTGTCAGCTGGTTTCAACCACATCTTCTACATATCCGCATCATGGTTTATAGTAAACCAAACTCCACAAGCGGAGCCATGAAGAGGTCTGCCTCGGCCCTCGAGGGACCACCAGGATGGGGCGATGTTCCTGTACGTTTCAGTTTCCATCACATAAATATGGATTCTTACTGATATGCGCTTCAGCCCATGATGAGCTCCTCCCGCCCATCATCTCGTCCTCCCTATGCCCACTTTGCTATGATTTACCTTGACCGTGATGGCAAGCTCAAGGTGGATGAATCTTCTTCTATCAAAGAGCAAAACTCCACTGTCTTCACCCCAGAAGTTCGCCAGAACTTCCTCGAGATTCTGGGTGAACGTATCGGCTACCATGCCCCTACTCGCCGTATGTCAAGCCTCCATTTCCAGACTGGAAAGAAAAGGACAATATATACTAACACAATATACAGAACTGGACACATCTCCTCGTCGCGTGAGACGTCGCAAGGGCAACGCTCCTATTCTTTCTGTCTCTGAGGACCGCCTGGCTGAGGAATCTGACACCGAGGAGTTCCCTAACGGGTCTACTGAGATGGTTCCTCTCCGCATCGGAGACTCCCAGAAGGTGATGGCCTACTATGAAGGTGCTCTAAAGCACTTCCAACAGCTCAACTGCCGCATGGTTGCCAAGGCATTCATCAAGTTCATCGAGCCTCGCAAGCAGGTCCGACACCCTTATAACGGTGGCAAGGCCCCTCCAGGATCTGCCCCCGGCACTACTGGTGACCCAGAAAAGACTAAGCCCGAGTGGTGGCCTCCCGGTGTTATGCACAAGGAGCCTGATCACTTGAGAAAAGAGTGTATGATTTCCCTATGATCTGACGAAGTTTTGTTCCACTTACTAACTTGATTCTGATAGACCGCATTGAGCTCTTACTTCACATTATCCGTAAGCTCGGTAGCTACGGTATTACTGCAGACAAGCTCAAGGATGTCGCTGGCGACACCAAGCGGAGCTTAAAGCACGCCTCACACGTTGAAATCATCTACGAGATCCTCCGCGTCCGTAAGATGGAGGAGCGCTTCGAACGCGGTGAAGTCGATGCCAACATGGTTGTCTACACCATGAACCGCGGTCCTAGCCCTAAGGGCGATGAAGAAGACGACTCCACTAACTCCTCAGTAACAATCGAGGAGCCCGATCACATCAACCAAGGATTAATGACCCCTATCTCATCATTCGAGCAATCATCTACCTCATTAACTACACCCATCGATAATATCCCATCAGCTCGCTCCCTCCCAGGTAGCTTCTCCATGGCTGAGCCTCTCAACTTCGAAAATTCCCGCCAGGACCGCCCTTACTACACCACACCTCCCCAATACACCGAGTCCTTCTCGCAACCCATGCTCAACGCTCCCGTGACATCAGAGATGCTCAGCCCCCATGACGTCTCAGTCTCAGCGTTCGACTACTCCACTCACAATGCGTTCTCAAATCCCACATCCGATCACTCGCGCGCGGGAGTAAATGGTCATTACGATACCTGGACCCCATCTTTCCGCCAGAATATCTTTACACCGGTCGAGTACCCTACCCCAGCATCCAGCCAGGGTATGGCCCAGCCTTCAATGGCATACCAGATGCCCATGGGATCGCACATGCATGACATGTCCCATCATGCCCAACAATCCCACATGGACTCCCTCCACCAACGATCCCTGCCTTTCCGCACCGGATCATTGGGTCACCCAAATCCTAACGGGATGCCTCTCACCCACACTGTCTAAATGGCTTAGTGGAAGGAGGTTCTCGTTGCAAATGATTTTTGACTCGAGGGTGGCGATGGAATGGGGCATGGGTATGGGTATTAACGAACATATATGAGTGATGGCTCTGGCCAACAAACTTAGCGCTTATCATAAGGCTTTGCCAGGGGAGTTGTCTGTTTATTTGAATTTTATGGTATAAAAACATATGGCCATCGTTCAGAGGCCGGTACAAATGGGGTCTGTTTGGTTCTTTTTCTTTCTTTTCTGAAAATACTTGGGTTTTGAAGTCTTTATTCCGGTCTTTGTTTTTGTACTGCGGTTCCTTTCTTTGACTTCCATTGTCTCGCCTTTTTACTTACATTTTTACTTTTGGTGTTGGCCTTCTTTTTCTTGCCTTCTGTTGATCTGCCTATCTGTTTGATCTTTTTGTTATTTTTGTTGTCTATATGGGTTCTCTCCAATTTGGAAGGTTGGAGCTGTTGATAAACGAAGTTTGGGTAGATACTTCAAAATTTATTCTGTCGATAATATGAAACCGAATCTCCTCTGGTTTTTGTTCAACTTCATAGTCTAGCTCGTAGGTTCTGTAACTACACAGCCATACCATCTCACATGGCCACGTATCTGAAAGTCTCTGTAGCCCTGTCCTAACGGTTTCTAAACTCATGATGTTGCCATGGTGTACTATTATTTGACCATGTTATACTGAGACCTCAGCCGGCAGACTTACATGCATAGGGTGGCTGGTACAACGGGTTCCAATTCCAAACTCTGGTAATACTTTGAATACATATTCATATGTGCGATTGCCGTTTATTCCACTCTTTCATCGACCTAGCTATAGAACAAAGAAAGACACTATAGTGTCCATCTCAAATGTATTGTTGAGGACAAAGGTCACATCAGGGGCCTACTCGCCTTGTAGATATTAATCAATTCTATGTCGCTCTCTTGTCTCCTCTCTTCCCAAAGAACGCTGTATGTGTAATGAATAGAATACATAGGACTTAGTCACACATTGGGCCATATCCTACCGGCTAGAAGCATAGGCATTGGTTATGGAGTACTTGTTGGACTATAATTTTTTTTGCGGTCCTATATATGCTGACAGTCTCTCGTTCTCGCTCAATACCTTCAGGATGATGGCATTGTACTCGATTCAGAACTTCGAGTCTCTCCCGTCCCATTCATGTTGTTCACGTGAATGGCATGCCCTAGATTCAAATGAAGTTGAGGCCGTCGAGATTAGGCCGCCGAGGCCCGGACAGACCTCACTAGAGTTGATGTCAATATCGTAAATGCCAACTATAGTGAATAATACGTATGTTGTACCCCTTGTTCCAATTAGCCCTCCAGTAGTAAATGCTCGGCGGCAAATTAGACGCAACCGCGGGACCCGCGCCCGCCCGTTTAGGCGCTTGGTCAGCGGAGTAAGCGGAGCCACTCCGCTCAGCTTGAAGCTCCGTGAGCACGGCGGAACTTGAGTTTCCATCCTCTCAATCGCTTTGTTTTCAGTTGGCGCTTCAATCCCGATCATATTCTCATGCGGGATTTGCGGCGTTGCTGATAAACCGACTCTCTTTCAACTTCACGCCACCATCGCAAACTCCGACGCGCACGATTCACGACACCCCATCAATCGCAAACACCGAAGACGACAAGCCCGTGTCGTCTATCGTGCTTCCTCCGAAGAGAAAAGACCCGTAAGTTCACTGCCAGGAAGCGTGAGTATCTCTCCCGAGTCCATGAGAGCCCTCACCTTTGTCTTCCGGCCTTCTTTGTATGCTCCGCTGTCTTCTTCGAGCGGTATTGGGCCATTCCGGCCGTTCTCTCACTTTTAAAACAAAAGCTGACTTCTTTGTTGTCGCCCCGGCGAAACGACTCCAGAAACAGCGCACACCTTTCCTGATACCTACGCAGTTGACTTTGCCGCCTACCGCAAATCAGAATCATCCACCTGAAAATCCGAAATAAACTTGGCCCCATAGAGTGAGCAGTGAGACCGTTTCAAGAGGCGGCGGCCAATCCAGTCGATTCCGCTCTTTGCGGGCAGGATGGCTAGCCCGTTCAACCCTTCTGCTGGCCGCGGTCACAGGGGAGGCGCCCCGGGCGTGCAAGCCTCAACGGGACGGGGAAGAGGTGGGAACCCTGGACATACGACAACATATGTGCCGAGAGGGGCAGGGGCGCCTCGCGCGACAAGGGCTCGAGGGCGTGGACGAGGGTCAATGACATGGACTGCTCGTGGCCGCGGTCGCGGCGCAGGCGTAGCAAGCCACATCGCCGACGGATCCCAACAACCCACAGAGGCCCCAAAGCCTGGTGCCGTGAACTCGCCGTTTGGGCAATTGAATCGACAAAAATCTGTCGCGTCACCGTTTGGCGCTCAGCCCGCCCAGCAGTCTCCGTTTTCCGGAGTCGCGGGCAGTGCTTCGGCTTCGAACGTCGCTAAAAACCCATTCGCCCAACCTACGAGCAGTGCGAAAAAGTTGACCTCTACAAAATTCGTTGGTGGGGGATCAAATATTGCCGCGTCTATGGAGCATGCATCAACGTTGAGCACCTATCAGGAACGCTTTGACAAGGTCGGTCTACCCTTCCTCGAAAATTGACAACATGACAAATGGGGCTAACCAAGTTTGCAGCTGAAAATCGACCAAGTGAAACAGCGCGAACGCGCGATCAAGGATGGGCAAATGGCGGATCCAAACCAGCCGACTTCTTTGAATAAGGCTATCACGCCTGTGGGTACCTGTACCGACATGTGCCCCGAGTTCGAGAGAGTGGAGCGGATCGTGCAGAAAGCCGTCGACAAGTGTGAAAAGGTAATGGTGCGCCGGTGGCTGTTTTTGGCTGTACGCTGACATGCAAGTATAGTATCCCAACCCGGCAACGAACCAGCTGGAAATCATGGAAACCAAGATGATGAAACGCTTCCGGCGTGCGGCAGCTGGAAATGACGAGCAATTGCCCTCGGATATCCGGACACCAAAGACGCTCTTGCAAACCATGAACTATCTCATTCGTTATGTTATCAATGGTGGCGAATCATTGGCCGCCGTCCACATGTTCGTCTGGAATCGGACACGATCAATCCGGAACGACTTCTCGGTGCAGCAACTTACACGCGAAGAAGATGTGAAGACAGCAGTCCTTTGTCTAGAAAGAATTGCGCGGTTCCATATCGTATCCCTGCATCTTCTTTCCAACCCGGCGAACACGGAGCAATTCGACCGTCACCAAGAGCGTGAGCAGCTGAACAACACCATGCTCTCTCTGATGTACTACTATGATGACAACCGTGAGCGTATCAAGTTCCCAAATGAGGACGAGTTCCGCGCCTACCACATCTTGTTCTCAATCCATGACCAGCGGCCTGACCTGGAAGCCCGTGTCCAGAGATGGCCAGCTACCCTGCTCTCTTCACCTCGCGTGCAGGTGGCATTGGAACTTTTTGCCGCCGCCTGTAATACATGGGAACCTCAAGGTGCTCTGGATTGTCGCCGAACGAACGCAGTTGCTCAAGGATTCTACACTCGCTTCTTCAACATCGTCAATTCCCCTAGTGTGTCGTATCTGATGGCCTGTGTGGCTGAGGTGTACTTCAACCACATTCGTCAGACAGCAATCCGTGCAATCTGGAAAGCCTACTGCCGGACTCCTCTGTCACAGCAGTCCAAAAACGACCATTGGACTGTAGAGGAACTAACTAAGGTGCTGCATTTCGATAACGACGAGCAAACGATCGATTATTGCAATTCACAGGACTTACAGTTTGTGGAAAACGCAAGTGGTGGGCTATACCTCAATTGGGGTGACAGACCCGTAGACACTGTTGGTGAGTGATAGCAAACAACTTCGTCTCAACCGAATCTCATTTTCCTTTCCTTCCCCACCCCTTCTCTGTCGTCCCAAGTTCATCATACATTCCTTCACATTCTTTCCTCTTCCTTTGTGTTATCACTAACATATCCAGATTTCGCGCCTTCGTCTGACCACTCTTTTTCTGAGACTTACGTGGAGTCAAAACGTGCAGGACGTAGTCTTGTTGCCATCATTCTTGGCATGAACATCAGAGAAGCCGCAAGAATGGGCATGATTGATCGCTTCCACTTGTCTCAAAAGAGTCAAACCCAGCCTGAGGCTGAGACTGAAGATGGGGATCTCTTCGTGAGTGACATTGATAATAAGACGCCCGCTCCTGTGGTCGAAACACAGAACACCCTTCTTCAGGATACATCTGCTTCTGAATTCCGGATCGCTTCTGAGGCTCAGAAATCTCTACAATCTACGCCTGCACCTTTGGCTTCCATGTTCCAGTCAAACCCACCAGCCGCCGTTTCAAAGCCGCCGAATCCTTTCGCGGCGGCCTTTCAGCCATCTAAAGTTCCATCTCCTCCACCCTCAAATCCATTTGCATCTTCGACACTCACCACCTCTGCCATGCCCGCAGCGCCGTCTCCTTTCTCTGCTTCGCCGAATCCATTCTTGGCCCCTAAAGAACCTGACTCTACCCAAAAGACCGACGCTTCTGCCCTGGCCACCAATGTGACATCCTCGCTCTTTCAACCAAAACCCCCTTCCCAGCCTGACACTACCGAAAAGCCGGCTGTTTCATCCATTAGTCCCACGGGGCCATCGCCATCCGCTTTTGCATCTACTTCTTCTTCGTCCATATTTTCAAAGCCAGCATACGCAACTCCTAAGACGGAGACATCTGCAGCAACTCTGCCTGCACCTGCGTTTTCAAAGTCCAGCATATTCCCTCCTGCATCTACCGCAGACAAACCCGCCTCTATCTTCCCGAGTGACTCTGGCTCTGTCCTATCCACCGCCTCCAACCCTTTCACTGCGCCATCTACGTTCTCTTTCTCTAAGCCACTGGAGTCAGCCCAAAATACGGAAACTCCCGCGGCAACTACCCCGGCGGCGTCTACGCTATTCCAACCTGTCAGCACTTCCCCCCAGGAGGCGCCGACTGTGAACAAACCTGGCTCAATTTTCTCTTCTGGTGCGGCTGCTTTCACTGCGTCGTCCCCATTCTCGTTTTCCAAACCATCAGAGCCCGTCCAGAAGACGGAGACACCGGCGCCAGTTACTACCGCGCCCTCTACCCTTTTCAAGCCCATCAGTTCGCCTCCTGCAACATTGACTGAATCCAAGAACCCCTTCGCGTCTTCGGTATTCCCTGGCGCCAAGCCCTTTGGTCCCACGTCCATATGTCCAAATGCAAGCCTTGAGACGGAAAAACCTGTTGCAAATACTAATACCCAGTCTACAATGTTCAGAAGCGAGGCAAAAGGCCAGCAGCCATCGATTGCACCGAACAATCCTTTCGCGCTTTCGAACGCTCCGTCATCTTTCCCAGCTACAGGTCTAGGAAATAATGTTGCCTCTACTGCTCCGTCTCCATTACCGGCCTTCAAAGCCGCAGAGACAACTGTGGCCAAGGAACCTGCTACTAGTGCCCCTCCAAATGCGGCTGCGAGCCAGTTTCCAGTTTCTGGATCAATATTTGCAGTTCCCAAGGCACCACAGCCAAGCCAGAAAACGGATATCCCAACTACTACGCCCAAGCTGAGTGAAACCTCAGTATTCAGCCAATCTGCACCTGCACAGGCCCAAGCACCTGGCCCATTCCCTATCAACGCCTCGGCTTCAATTTCAGGCGCGCGTCGATCTGTATCGGACACTCAAGCGACGGCCTATTCGCCCCCTCGGACTCTCTTTGAAGCCCTTCGCCAGCCCCAAAGCCAGCGTAAAATATTCGACACCACATCGAATGCGTACTCACCTGAAACGGCGACTGCTCAGCCGCCAGCGCCCTTGTTCCAAAGCCCAGAACCCTCCGTGGCGGGAGGACAGCAAGGATCGTTGAAACGACAACACGCGGCCACCGGTTCATTCAATGAGCACAAGAGGCGCTCCTCGCTGAAAGGAAACTCTCCTGCTGCAGCATCTGATGGATCATTCAAACGGTCCGTGCACTTCGAAGACGCGCATGAAAAGGAACAGCCTACCCCGCAGGACTCACAGTTGTCTTCGTTGCGCAAACAATCCGAAGTTACTAATAAGAAGCGAGTGCTGGATGAGCAGACTGAGCCCGAGCCGGAGGAAGCAGGCCCGAGTACTAAGGCGCCCAAGGTATCCACCGCGGAAGAACATGGCTTCGGTTTCTCTGTCTACAAAGCAGAAAACCGCCCGATGCCGAGGCTCCCAATCTTGGACAAGTTGGAAGAAAAGCTTAAACGAGCCGAGGCCTTGTGCGAGCCGAAGGGTCCGACCCCAGAACAGCTCCAGTTAATCGAGGAAGCACGACTGAAACGGGCTCGCCAAGTCGACGAGGACGAGATTGCCCTCTCCCGAGCACGTATCTTGGCCGAACAGTTGAGAAACGGCCCTGGAATCTTCGACGGTTGGACTGGCCCAATCCGGCAGCCGTGGCACGACCCAAATTGGAACCCCATTGACCGAATTCTGGAAAAGTATCGTGCCCGAAATATTCCCCCGCCATCTACCTATGTGCCACCTCGTCTAATTCTTAATCGCACTCCTAGTGGATACGAGGTCGCTTATGCTCCTGATACCCCGGGACGACCTATGTCCCGCACCGAACAGCGGATCCGACGCACTGGTGCCCGTGGACTTGCAAATGTGCCCCTGGATTTTGAGCGTCATAAGCGAGAGAAAAAGGAGAAGGCTGAGCTCAAGAATGGAGAGAAGGGGGGTAACGACAAGGACGAGAAGGATGAGAAAGACAAGTCTTCCAGGGGCGTTTAAGGAGATGCGCTGCGCTCTTCTTATTCCTCATGACCTAGTCATCTCATGGTGTATCTCAGTGATTTACTCTACACTCATGTGGGCCATAGATATGACAATCTGCTTACTCTATGCTCATCTCACGGTTGCATTTTGCGCCGTCATTTGTAATGATTATCTTTTTTCCAAATGAACATTGCTTTCAATTACTTTCTTTTTCTATTTATACCTTGTTTATTTCTGGCCATAGACTTAACTTCTTATACCAGATGCAGATCCCAGGCATGTTCGAACATCCATATCATTCTGACAGATGCCACTCGCCTGTCGTCATCTTTCCATCATTGTCGTTCTATAGATCAGTTTAAGATTGTAAGTGGCAAGAATGCACACATCTAGATATCATGTAGATAGGCATCAATTCTGTTAACCTCACATAGCTTTTTGAACTTCCTCTATGCACTTTATATCAGTGTTATAGACTTCGAATAACAAGAAGACGAGACGAATCGGAGAAGAGGCGGAGAATGGGGCGGTGAGTTAGGATGCTCAACCAATAATAAAACCAACGTGCCGCTACAACGAGATAATAAATCCATCCATGTATATCCTACCATATCAGACCGTCACCCGGCCGGCAACAACCCATGCAAACCGCCTGGGAACACATCCTAGTAGCTAGTCACTCACGTGATTGTTTTACCCCTTCTAAGGACGATTTATGGCTATTTCTTCACTCATAACAGCATACCATGGCACGCCCCTTAAGGTTATTCACGCACCCTATCCACTTGTCGAGCTCATATCGACCTTCAATTCCAGTTGTCCAATTACTATGGCGTCGAAAGGTGGACTCTGTCTCTTTCGTACGGCTAAGCACCACAATGACCAATAATCCTCTCGTTGAGTATGACTGGATCAAGGATGTGGAGAGACTGGAAGCGTATCGGCCTGGGGGCTATCATCCCGTCATGATCGGTGATATATTACACGGCCGTTATCAGATTGCAGACAAACTTGGGTTTGGAGGCTATTCGACAGTTTGGCTCGCCCGAGATACTCATCTGAACCGATATGTTACTTTGAAGGTCAACATAGCCGACTCAGTTCAGCACGAGACGAAAGTCCTTAGGGCTCTGTCTGCTCCGCCTTCGTCGTCTTCAGCCGTACGTCCTGGTCGTGGCTTAGTACCTGTGCTCCTGGATGAATTCGAAGTGAGAGGTCCTAATGGAAAACATATATGCTACACGGTGCCTCCTGCACAATGTACCCTTAGGGAGGTCTCCTTGAGCCGTCTATTCCCCCTCGAAGTTGCTCGAGCACTATCATATCGACTCGTACAGGCCGTTGCTTATACGCATTCGCAAGGCTATGTTCATGGAGGTTTGTTACAACTATATCTATCTATGTATATACTACTTAGCTAACTCAGTTTAGATATTCATTTAAATAACATTTTAGTCCAGCCTCCGTCAAGTCTCGATGAGCTTTCTATCAAGCAATTATATGAAACATTCGGCGAACCCGAGACAGTTCCTATCGCACGATGTGATAGACAACCATTAACTCCTAATGTCCCCGCCAAAGCTGTTGTGCCACTATTCCTAGGGAAATACGCGGAGAAATTCTCATTATCTGACGCACACCCGCTTCTAAGTGACTTTGGTGAGGCATTTGCCCCCGCTTTAGAAGTCCGCCTTGGGAAAGACTGCCATACGCCAGTCGCATTTCGGGCTCCAGAAGCTAAGTTCGAATCGCAACTCCCGCTCTCGTATCCGTCGGATATTTGGAGTTTGGCTACGGCTATCTGGGAAATTATCGGAATGAAGGCTGTCTTCAGCACCGAGTTTGTACCTGAGGATGAGATAATGGCTCAGCAGATCGATGTACTAGGACGTATGCCATCGGAATGGTGGCAGCGCTGGGAAGGGCGAGCCCGATTTTTCGATGAGAATGGTTATCCAACGGAGTCTTATATGAAGAATAAATGGCCTCCGCTTGAGGGATCATTTGAGATCGGTGTGCAGAAATGGAGACGGAAGATGGGAGGTGAGATTAAGGAAGAGGAGACAGCTGCTCTTCTGGCTTTGATGCGTTGTATGCTGTCATTCCGGCCAGAAGAGCGACCCACTGCTGAAGAGGTGCTAATGTCGGATTGGATGGTTAAATGGGCGTTACCTGATTGTGAACGAAGCTGAAGGCATTCTCTTGTGTGTAGCACTCAAAATCCATGTACCAATAGTAATATAACACCTATCGATGTGTACTCCTTTACGTAAACTGGGAGAAATACAGAGTTGATCATGGGAAGTTCACTACATTGTCAACATCAGGTACAGAATTGTACCAATCATACTTCGATATGACGGCGTACGGCGTAAGTATATTGGCCGGGTATTGATGTGAATTTGATGCTTTTTCATAGTATATACAGCTACCCTATCCATAGATCTACTCCGTAGTGTTGAAATTGGGAATCCCGGTTAAGATCTGTGAACGTCACAATGCTTTCAATTTAGAAACCGAGGCGGAGATTTACCCCTGAGCCCTGAGGCATCAACTTCAGGTGGCCCTCGGCCCAAAACATTACCCATTGCCCTTCCGTCAAGCTACACACATACTCAAAAGTAATTGCCCCTATCTCCGACTCGAAAACAATATATAAAATAATCGTGTTGGATTGAGATATAGTTCAGGTTCCCACCCGCCCGTCATTCTGGCAAAATTCCTGCCCCGCTGTGTCCGTGTTGGGACCAGACACGAACTTCATACCTGGACCACGTCAAGTACACCACTGACTTCAGACGCATCTATTTTACGACCTACTAAGAAAATTGATCTCATTACAAAACGGGTGTCGCGTGTTAATTCCAGAAACTTCACAACCTCGCTGTCTCACAAGATGAGGATCGCAACCCTTCAATTCGCGCCGAAACTGGGCGATGTCAAAGGCAATATTGAGAAAGCAAATGCTTTATTGAAGACTGGAAAGGGCGTTTCCGTACATGGAAAGGAGCTCGGGGTTGGAGTGGATCTATTGAAGCCTGATATCTTGGTGCTGCCCGAGTTGGCGATGACGGGTATGTAGCTACCCGACAACCTGCCCAGGAGCATAAATCGAGCAGCATAAGCCCTATCTCGTCCCATTATCTACGTTCAGCTCGATCTGTGGGAAATCTTCACTGGCTAATGAATAACTAGGATATAACTTCCCTTCTTTAGAAGCGATCGAGCCATATCTCGAGCCAGCTGGCGATGGCCCCTCTGCCTCGTGGGCGCGCGAAACTGCCAGGCGCCTGCGATGCAAGGTCTGTGTGGGATATCCGGAAATCGAGAAGGATTCCGAAAATCCCAGCAAAATCACATATTATAATTCACTTCTTGTTGTCGACGAGGACGGGGAGTTCATCCTCAACTACCGCAAAAGCTTTTTGTATTACACCGACGAAACGTGGGCGGCCGAAGGTCAAGTCGAGCGAGGATTCCATGAGCTTGAATTCCCCGCTGAAGGCGACCTATCTTCCTTGAGAAATCCGGTGCACCAGGGTGAGCAGGTTGTATCCGAGAAAAAGCGGGTCGCGACTTCGCTTGGTATATGCATGGACATCAATCCGTACAAGTTTGAGGCACCATTTGACAAATGGGAGTTTGCAACTCGAGTTCTTGACTCCAAGTCCCAACTTGTCATTTTGTCCATGGCTTGGTTGACCACTTTGAGCCGGGAAGAGCTCGATGCCTTGAAGGATAAGCCAGACATGGATACCTTCAACTATTGGATTCAGCGGTTCTGGCCCCTGTTACAAAAGAGGATGGAACACAAGGTGGATCTTGACGGCGGGAAGGCGGCAGATTCTCCGAAGAAGATCGTCATTATCTTTTCTAATCGGTCGGGAGAGGAGCCACCAACAGAAGATACCAAGCCACCGGCGCGATATGCGGGGACAAGCGCTATCATTGCTGTGATGCAACGGTCCACTCACAATGCCGCGGAGAAAGATGCAGGGTCAGGTGCGCACGCCCCTGATGAGGAAAGTGAGACAGAGAATGCAAGCATCCCATTCGACGTCAAGATACTTTGCTGGGATATGCTAGGCGCCACGGAGGAGGGTATTTGTTTCGCGGATACTACGGCAGATCCGCAAATGGTATTTGCACTGAAAAAGGCGTCTGGGTGAGGGGCGCACTGGACGCGTCAGGCTATTCCACACATAAGGAAGAGTTTACGAACTGATCGAGGGTCCATCCTTGCAACATGACATTAGAAATGGCATTTCGATCACCCGAGTTTCTGTGATACCTCCCAATCCCAGAATATATACACTAGATGGTGTGTATATTGCTCAGTGTTATGGCGATCCTGTTTTCAAGAATGGAAACTCCACTGATTGCCACAGGCGCATCATGTGTAGGTTATCCATGTGACAAGAGACTCAAACATGATGACATTTGAAGAAGATCATCGAGATCGTCGCAATCTTCAGGCGGAAAGCTCAGATACTTAGCTTAATATCGTCGGTGGAATTCGGAGGTCTCATGATCACTTAGACTTCAGTTTGTCAATATTTGGGAAAAGTACCAGAGAATACCCCTTTGGATCTCCGATGCAACCCTTTGGAGAGATAATGGTGTGAAGGGCTTGGGGAATCCTATTTCTGGATTCTTATTCTGAAACATGTGATTCTCCTCTCCCCACTCTGATGAGAGAGAAGTAAACCAACGAGAAGTAGAAACAATGTATACTGGGATGTCCTGTAAAAGCAACTCGTGTTATATCGTGATCTAGACCGGTACACCCGCTACAAAACGCACGACTTTGTTTCCCATTGCTACCACTGTCCTGGGATATTCCCCTGCTGTGTTTCATGATTCAGTTGAAGGGGTATCCCATACGGACGGAGTACACTAGTGGAAATAGCCTGATGACTTGCAGGGAAACAAGGATGGGGGTTACTTCGGGTCAATACCGGTTATATTCCATGCAATAGGTAGGCTTTTGTGTCTAGACTACGCCCATATACTTGTTACTTGTGTGGATTGTGAAGTTCTTTGTATCTGACGGTCTGATCCCCTCCTCATAGTGGGTGAATAGAGCTTGTGATTGGCCCATAACATTCCTCTTCACGTGATCTAGGGATCCCCCCTCCGAGAGCCGACAGCCAATCAGAGATCAAGAAATGAGGTGTGCAGCAGAGGGGCACGGGATAGCTGCACATGACTTTCGATGAGAAATGGAGGCGTAGAATCTATTCAAGCATTTTAGTTGGTTATCTTCAGCTGTTGTCGGTTTCTTTTTGGATGTGTTTGCAAAATTGTCTAGACCTCCAGGGCTTCCAGGCGGTATGCGGTACGCTTACGTCAGTGTATCTTTTTGAATAGGGAAATCAGGTGACTTATTGCACTATTGGTCGTTCTGATCCACCGGATTCCGCGCGACTCCTCTCTCTTGACCACCTCCTTGCCACGTGAGCAATCCATCTCGAACTTGTCCGCTACTCTACATCTTCCTAAAGAAGCACCTTTTCTTATTTCTAAATTTACCGCGAGGTAGATTCCTAAGTCGTTTGCATATCTTGATATCGGTTTCATCAAATTTCCAACTTTCGCATTTTCACGTCCCAATTTCGAATTCGGGGTTTCGCAGACAACGTGACCTGCGTCTTGTTGTTGTCGGGCAGGTGACTTCCTGTCAGGTGATAAAGAGAGATCATCCCAAGGTACGGCTCCATCAATACTCCATCTTCATCCAGACTTCCCCATGTCATTGCATGTCGCTTCGTGATCCTCGTCGCAAGTGGTGACCTTGACGATGATGCCCCCCTGTGTGACCTGCGCTGCCTGCAAGCCATCATGACGCGTTCTTGATGTCTTCAACCCCGATGTTTCGAGACATCGCATTATATGCGATCGCTTGACAGCGTCACTACCCCGTAGCACTATCTTCATGAACTGCCGCCCGCCAGAAAAAATTAATGGCGATGGCCGGACATGATCGGCCTCGACCTGGATGCCGTACGAGCGCGTCGGCTCCACGCGTCTGTTTACTTCGCGGGGTGTCCACTGATCTTCCCGGGACTCGATATGCCAGGCACAACTTACTGCAGGCTGCACTCACATCTCCAATCATATTGTTCTTTGTTCTCTTATTCTCCGAGACTTATTGCTTCACTTACTGGTTGCATGACTAACCACGACCACGAATAGGACGATCAATTTTAGAGCTCAGCATGTCTGATCCCACTATGAACAGCCCAGATAACGGCTCGCACAAGCGCAAGAGAGATGGCTCCGAGGACCTAGGTCCCGACCCTCAGCGTCTTAACCGCTCTTCCCACGGAAGCAACGGTAGCATGGATAACCAGCACAACTTTGGCCACGGAGGGCTTGGCAACTACGACCACGGACTTCCCAACACTGGGGCCGAACTCAACATTGATCAACAGATTCTTCAGCATGTTGGTCCGCAGAATGGTCTGTCTGACGATAACGCCTTGACCGCCAACGCCAAAGCTGCCCTGGCTGCACACACCCCTCAACACAAGTATCCCCCTCCTCCCGATTCCGGCTTCGATGCCAGCAACCTCACCCAAGGGCTGTCCTTTGGCGATGAGATGAATCAACCCCCCATGGGAGGCGGTCACAATCACAATTCAACTGCCGCTGCCGTCTACGCTGCACGCGAGGCTCAGAGCATGAACCAGAAGCCTACCGTTGGTTCCCCCGAATGGCACCAAATCCGCAAGAACAATCACAAAGAAGGTAATAACCACATTTCCGTCGCATTCGTCCTTCCATACTCATCCCTTCTTCTAGTTGAACGTCGCCGCCGCGAAGCTATTAATGAGGGTATCAACCAGATTGCTCGTCTTGTGCCCAACTGCGATAAGAACAAGGGCGCGATCCTGCAACGTGCTATTGAATACATCCTGCAGCTGCAGGAAGAGAAGAAGAACATCGACGAGCAATTCGAGAAACACAGTCTGACTGCTAACCATGCTATCGCCGAGATCAGCGGCTCGAACTCCAAGCTCAAGAACGAGGTCGCCCGTCGCAACAACATGGCCTTGAAGTGGCTGTCGCGTTGCCGTGATGCTGGCCTGGACTTTGATGACTACGAAGAGTCCAAAGAGATGGAGTCACTGGAGTTGGATTAGGCTTATCATCCTTATTCTTCTGCATGTGCTACGACTTGTTGCGTTCCGGAGGCCAAGACTTGAACATACCCTCATCTTTCTGTTTTTCAAATCTGCTATTCTGTTACCAGATCTTTTCTCTTATTACCATGTTTCCAATCGATGTGACCTCACCCATGACTTCTCATTACCCCCCCTTTCCCTCACGATGCCTGTCCCTGACAGACTGTCACATTGCCAATTAGCTACACTTATTACTTGTTTGCGCAATCTTCCCTGGTGCTGTTGCTTGCCTCTGATCATTCTCTGCTCACACATATCTACGGTCTTTGTACGCTACTCGGGCTTTATTCTGTGTTCTTTTTTTTTTTCTTTTCATCATTAATGGATTTGTGGGCTGGCGAATCTATGGCTGGGATGGGTTGCCCTGGAATGGAGCTGCGGATTGTTAGGTTTCTTTTTCGAATTGTTTTATCACACTTATCTCTTGACTTGCCCTTGTAGGAATCTGTTATAGTTGTATATTCAGGCGTGTACAATGGGCAAAAGGTGATATGACCTTTGCCAAGTTGGATCTGTTCTCTTGGATATGCAACACAATTGCTGTCATCCATTCAATACATCACTTCTATGTTGATGTTCAATGCACATCGCACTCTTCTAAAGAGGGAAATATCTAGAATCACCGGGGTTTAGGGAGAAGAATAAGCCCATTTTGCACTATATAATCTCCACTCACATCCTACATGGAGAGAAGTATAGGCGTTGGTTTTGTACTTATCGATCTCCGCAAAGCTCACAAATGGGTCCTGGCGCAAAGCCCAACCAGTAGTGGGCCGTGGGCCCAACCCCAGGCCCATTGTCTGTGCCCCAAGCCCGGTTTGTGCTTAACTACAGTCTTACGTTATCGGATTCCTTTTTAGAGGGTATGCAGGTTTCTGATATTATGCTATATGGTACTTACTAGATGGTAACCTAAGACAATCGAGTCCTATCTGACTACCTCCAAGGCTTTTGCGTCTATATGAAACACAGAAGTTCTTGTGAGTCGGACTCCGGCAAGATTATACATGCCAATTATGGGGTTGGTTATGCCTTTCATAACCTGAAGGATGCATATAGAGGTAAGAAATAGGAAGATAAGTACATTCATAGGCATCAAGATTTCCCGAGGTCAATATAAGACAATATAATAATCAGCCACTGAGTCACTGCGGACTCCGGAGATAACACAGCCATGATCAGCCCCTACCCCTCTATGATGTCAGACAACCCCTGGACATCTCTACTTAATCTCATCTATTTCCCTCTATCTCTTCTATCTATCATCATATATCATTTCAAAATGCCTTCCTATATTGTGAGTATCATACTTAGAAGATATACATCCTTGCTAACCCTGTTAGATCACGTGCAAGAAAGACGCAGACGACAGCCAGGTTGAGTCGTATGTATCTCACCCTGATATTTGAGATAGGCTGTACTAATACATGTATCTCCTTTAGCGTCAAGCAACATGCTAAGGACCAAGGTGGCTCTATCATACACGAGTACTCATTGATCAAGGGCTTTGCGTGAGTTATTTCGACGTCGTCTTCCAGCATGAGATGGCTAATGCCAAGTCTTGATATTCACAGCGTTACCTTCCCCGAGAATACGGTTCACAGCCTGGACACACACCCTCACGTCGAGAACGTCGAGGCCGACAGTGAAATGAGAACACAGTAGTTGTTCGCCAGACGTGTTGCGGACATAGCAGGAGTACCGATTTAGCGTGTTGCATCATAGCCCTTGTGTTATGTATACAGCTACGTCTTTACTAGCTAGAACGAGTTTACGATAGAGAAATGAGCCATACGTTCCAGAAAAATGTGACCTTGTAGATCGACCTATCAGATGAAATGATCTATATAACCTCTAACACATCCACCAAACCACCTCAATAAATAATATCAACAGAAGAAAATAAAGCTTCTCTCAACCTAAATTTACAAGTTCGTCGTAGCAGTAACCTCATTACCAGACGAAACCCCGACATTCTTAACAACAACACTCTTACCACTGGCACCGGTAATCCGCACATCAACAGTGCTAGTACCGAATCCAGCAGAGTTCTCAAAGAAGTTGTAGTACTGACGGGTAGTTCCGTGCCAAGTACTACCGCCATCAGTGCTAACCTCCAACGAAGCCACAGCCTCGTTGGCATTAACAACCTGCATCGAGAACCAGTACGCGGATGTACCCTCCTTGTTCTTGAGCTTGAGTGGTCCGTCCAGATCGCAAGAGACGTAGGACCAGGTGGTCTGGATGATACCGGCTGAGATGTCAGAGAGCTCGGCGAAGGCGTTCTGGAAGAGGTCGAGGTGGTTGCTTTCGCATTCGGGGCATTGATCGACGATCTGGGTTGCGTTAGTATTTGGAGATGGAATGGGAGAGGAAATACACGTACCATTGCTTTGATGGAGTTACCCTTGGGTCCGGTGACGGAGACACAGGCGCCGCAGTTGGCAGCGTCGTCCCAGCGCTGGAGAGAGAGGGCGGCGCCGAAGAGGTGGCTTGGGAGGGTGTAGCCGGAGAATGAGCATGTTCCGCCGCCGACGTTGCCGCCGTAGAAGGTGGCTTTTCCGGGGGTTCCGTTGGAGGGAGCGGTGGATGGGGACTTGGTGGAAGCGGGGGAAGTAGCAGACTTGGTGGTGGTGGGAGCTTCGACGGTTTCCTTGGGAGCTTGCACGGCGGCTTTGGTCGTGGGAGCTTCGACGGCGGTTTTAGTGGTGGTCTGCTCGGCAGGGGCCTTCACGACAGTAGTCGGCTGGACTGGGAGAGTCTCAAGGGAAGTAGTCGGGAGAACCACGGCCGGGGCAGTCGTATCAACCTTTGTCTCTGCAGTGGAAGTAGTCGATGCGGACACTGTGGACTGAGTGGTGGTAGACACGACAGCAGCCGTAGTGGACGATGAGGAAACTGTAGACTGAACAGAAGTCGTTGATGGATAGATGGTCTTGTAGTAGACGCTCATAGTGTAGCCCTTGGGGCAGTATCCGTTATCTTCACGGATGCCCAATGGGCCAGCGGACACAGTAGCAGCGCTGACAAGAGCGGCCACGGAGGCCAGGCGAAGATACTTCATTGTTGGATAGATCGAACGAATGAAGGGTTTTGTATAGACGAATGAATGGACAAGTCAGAAAATGACTTTTAAAAGCACTGTAAAGGAATGGACGTCTGGATAACGAATGCCAGATTCGAAAGAGTTACTGTTCCAGACAGGAATGTAAAGAGAGCAAAAGAAGGTATGGGGTGAGAAATGAGGGATAAGACATGGTATATAAGTCTAGGCGGTTAAATTCATCATATTCCTTATGGGTTGATAAAATAGTTTGATTTGATCTCAAGAACTACAAAAGGTGAAACATGGCGTGAATTGTTAGCCAGTGTAAATGCTTCGGAGAAACCGGAAATGGAAGTTGACCCATTTCACTAGACCATGTTAGGGCTAGTGGAAGTTCTTTAAATTAAAGAGGAAATTAGAGTGAGTCAAGATAAAATGAGCTATCGAGCATCCCACATAATCTCATTCAATCCAAGCAGCGCATCTGCACTGGCCTTTTTCGCCGACATAAATTCCTCTCGGCTTTCCGCCCCACGTGGACCACGGAGAATTTCAGAGAAGCAAAGCTCTACGAGAACCCGTAGCTCATCGTAGGTAAATGGCTCGCCATTACCAGCAGCCAAGGCTTTGTTGCCTTGGGATGCAAAAGCCTCCTTCTCTTCCTTGGCGTAGTCCAGGGTCTTCTCGGCTCCTTCAAGGAACCAGTCCAGGAACTTGGCACTGCGCGGTAGGGCAACAACTTCTTGAGCAGCCTGAGAGTGTAAATTTGTAGCCGAATCCGGAGAATCACCAGCTGGATCGATAATGATGTTCTTCAAATTTTGTTGAAGGACAAGTACATCAAGCTGCAATCGCAGCGCTCCATTCTCATTCATGGCCCCGATATACTGGGTGCAGGCAACAAAGACCCGATCGATAAACCGTGCCAAGCCCGATGTGATAAACCAGCGCTCAACAGATCCCAGATACGTCGAGATGTTGGTGTCGAATGCGATAAGATCATTATTGAGTGCGAGAATGGTGGGCGATGCAGCGGTTGGTTGATTCATGATAATGTGCCACCAGTTGTCCGTTGTATTCGGGGATGGAGTGACCGGTTCAGAGTTCCGCAAGTTAGGGGGGTTCGGTCCAGACATTGTTTTAGTCAACATGTGAATGATGCCACAGCGGATGTCGATATGCAGCGTCAGAATTGCAGTAGCTCCAAGCCGGTGCAAAGATTGAAGCGTCCCATCAAAGGCCACGGCAGTCTCGTGGTTGAGCGGTAGATGCACTGGAGTATTCATGCTATCGCGATTAGGCTTCATGGACCCGAACAGAGTCCACCTGCGAGACGGCCGGCCAGTTGCAGTTAAACTGGACGACTCGGCGTCCGCAGTATGTTCAACCACAAGCCGGATTTTCGCCAGGTGACTTGCAAGCCATTGCATGCTGTTGTACAGGAGTGAAAGGGAAATGACAGTTTTCGGGTCAGATATGATGTCGTAAGGCTCCAAGGGCACTTCCCCTGTTCGCTTGAGAAGAAGGTCGATTTCCGTATCAATCAGGGTCTGTTTCTTGTCCCCGGCACCTTTCCACAGTTCATCCACAACATCATATATGTCGCCCGATTCAGCAAAGGAAGCCGCGGCTTTCAGTTGAACCTCGCCTCCACGGTTCCGTGCAGAGACCTTTGTGACCATTGCTTTGTACCACCCACAGCACTTGTCATAATAGGTCACGATCTGGTCAATAAGAAGCTGCGTAAATGCCTGATCGTGTGGAATACTCGACAGCATTTTGCTAAACTCCCGGACAATGGACATGAATTTGACTGTTCCTTTGAAAATAGGCCGAGGAGAGGACTTAGTCCATTGGGGGTCTTCTGTAAACGCATCTGCGGAAATGAAACTGAGTGTGCAAAGATCCGTCACCGTTTCATCCAACTGGGGCAGGAAGACATTGACCATGAAGTCATCCAAAAAGGATGTCAAAGTGCCCATAGGAATATCCGAATCAACAGGAACGATATCCTTGAGCCGTTGAATAAAAGATAAAGAGGGAGGAAGAAGGATTCCCATATTGAAGACACTTGGTTCGAGCAAAATCTTATGCCCGGTTCCTGAGTTGCCTTTATTAGATTGCGTAGTATCATTTGTTGTGGCCTTTTGCCTTGACTTGGAAACAAGTCCAGGAACCGAGGACTTGAGGATTTCATCGAGTTCGTCCTGTTCAGCTTTCATCTCGGAATTATGCTCAATATCGGACAACTTAAACATTTTCTACAAAAGGGTCAGCTACTGAGAATAATGAAACGTTGGAAGGGACTGGCCATCTTTACCTTATTCTTATCGCGGTTGCCTGTGTATAGGTGACGTCGAGAGTCAGTCTCATCTGCTCTAGATCGAACAGATGAGTCCCCGTCGGTTGCGAGATAGTCGTGCATGAGAGATCGTATCTGGAAAAGCAAATTAGTATTCGCCACATCAGTCAAAGCCTATGGTGACTTACCTCGCTTTGTAGAAGTTTCCACAACTCCTTAAACCCGCCAGAAAGCGTCTCGCTTTTAACTAGACCTTCTCGTTCCACAATAGCCGCAACAACGTCGTGAAGAATACGATGACCTTCCGCGATTGCCTCAAACTTGGCATATAGTGCCCACAAAAACTCGGAAAGCACGTGGCCTCGTTTTTCAATGATCTCAGTCGGGAGACTTGACTGTTTATAGTTGTCCTGGGCCGAGAAGCTCTTGGTTGGCGCAGGATAGCGAGTATCAACCTCTGCGTTTGTCTTATCTACTACAGCGAACAGTTCGACCGGAAGACGCTGCTCAATTCTGTGAACTGCGACGTCAAGATGGCCCATCTTGTTCAGCGCCTCGATCAATAACTGAATGTAGGAAAACGTATCAGCCTCCGGGTTCCGAGAAGCGTCTTCAACCATAGGGGTCAACGGATCAAACTTGGCTAGGAAACTGTACACAGGCCGTTCCCAAGAGCGACTGCCAGACCAAGTAGATGTATTTACATCTTTTTCATCAGATGTGGGTGGCTTCCATCGGTCTGAGCAATAGGGTGATTTAAGGTATAAATGGTCGTGCAACTCCTCGATTAGGATGTCCGTGAGCGATGTTTCCTGGTTTATGAAATAAGCCCGAATATCGGATAAAGCACCGATGTCCTCCAGCTCCGAACGCCGTAGAACTCGGAGACCAGTATGAAGCACATCCACGGCTGCAAGGAAGCGCTTATCTGAAATCTGGGATTCCAATTTCTCGGGGAGGGATTGGATTTCCTCAATTTGAGTGAACAGCTGTACGATATCATCGTAGTTCTGAGACGATGTTGCGAGCCCTTTCAACTCGGGCTTAGTCGATATTAACCCGGATTTGGCTTGATCCAGGGCATTTCTCAGGCTGCGCACTCGAGTTTGCGAGGAAGATATATTGGATTGGATTTTGTGGTACGTTCCAATAGAACTGTTGAATCCCTGATGGTGTTCTATGACATGCAATTTTAGCATATGTCTGCCCTAAACACTCCAGATAGGACCTACCATTGACAATTGCCTTCAATGTCTTCTGGATGTCATTGTACATGTGCAAAAATTCCGGTTCGCGATCTGCTTTACCCAGTGTACTTGTATCCATCAAACTCAGAGCAACGTGTACTGGGATACACTCGGCATCGGTCATGAAGTCCCAGTCGCGCTGAATAGACTGGAGAATGGCTGCAGAAAGCGACCATATTAGCTATTGGGCCAGGTTAAGCAAAAGAAAAAAGCATACTTTCGATAGCCTGCGCCTCCCCCGAGTTATTGCTCCTCGTAGCTACAGGGGACGCATTCTGGCTCCTTTGGTCCCTCTGGTTTCTCGGGTCTCTTTGGCCTCTCGGGTCCCTCTGTGCTCTCGGATCTCTTTGGTCCCTTGGGTCCCGTTGACCTCCCCTGTTGTCCGCGTACCGACTCGCATCTCTAGACCGTTCCTCCTGGTACTTCCGATCGGGTTCTTGGTTCCTTGTGCGTGATCGCGAAGAGGCTTGCGAGGAGGGGTGTGAAGAAGGATGCGATGGGGGATGCGACGAGGGGTTCGAAGACGGTTGCGGAGAGGGTTGCTGCCAGTCCCGGTTCGATCGATCGCGCCGCCGCTCAGGCGACTGACTTGGCGCAGGAGATTGGCCTGGGGATAGAGCTGGTGGCTGAGGCGAGTCGGCGTAGAAACCACCGTATCCCCCGGGGCGACGATCTGAACGTCCACCTCCACCAGGTGGTGCGGCACCTCGTCCACCATATCCGCTTACCCCAGGGTTGCTGTTTCCACCGTATCCCCCATCATTGCCATCGTACCGGCCGGGAGCGGAGTACCCATAACCGTTGCCGTAACCGCCTGGGCCGCTCATTGCAATGATACCTCCTAATCACGGGGTGTTCCGGTTGAGTATGAAACGGTTGGTGGGCTGTGACAAGGGGCTGGCGTGGGGCTGATAGCCAGAATGTTTCGAACCTAGATCCTGTAAATTGCGCGACACAATTGGCAAGCAGCTGCGAGCATTCTTAGCTTGAAGGAGCGCTGGAAGCAGTTCAGCGCCGTTGTGGTTGTGATGAAACAAGCCGGGGGGAATGTCAGGCTCCACCAGAGCTTCCCGCATTCCGTTCCACTGACCAGTTGTCACTAAAGGTTACATCTCCCACTACATTGTCTATACTTCTTGCTAACAGCTATTTGGTGTTTTTATTCACTCTTAATTATTCGGTAGACATCATTGAAATAGCACATGTCCATTTAGGCTGTATTCTACATAATGCCACCTAATCCATAGTAGTGGGAGTAGGCGTGTCAACCCACGGATTATCAAAGATGCAATTCACTTATTTGGAGATGGGCTGGGTCTCACGCTCGAGCCACGAGCGTGTCAGGTCATCTGAATCGAAGAAATGCTTTGTCTTCGCCCAGATCTCAGCGTGGTAGTCATTCACCCACTTAAGCTCGGCGTCGCTCAACAGCGACGGCTCAATCAGGTTACGACCAATAGGAGTCATCGTAACATGCTCAAAGCCTAGCCATTGCTTGTCACCAAAGTTGTGGGCGGGTTTGACTTCGCGAGCCATGACAATGTCTAGAAAAAGCGGTATTAATATATGTCCAATTGTAGGCGGTAGGTAGGTCAACTCACTCTCAATTCGAATACCAAATTTGCCGTCCTCATAGTATCCGGGTTCTGTCAGAAATTAGTTCCAAACTGCAATAAATAGAGAAAAAGAAGACAAACCATCCGAGATAACATTTCCAGCCGCAATAGGGACCTCGGTATACTGAACCCGAGTTCCAATGCCAATGGGGCCCTCGTGAACATTCTAAAGAGAGATTAGACAAGTAGAAGGTGTCGGATCAGGGATTATACTCACTAGATAGGAGCCAACACCATGGCCTGTTCCGTGAAGGTAGTCCAATCCTTCTTTCCACAAGTGCTGGCGAGCCAACACGTCAATTGCAAAGCCACTGGTGCCCTTGGGGAATACTGCCATATCGATCCCAATAGTTCCCTTCAGCACCAACGTGAAAGCACGCTTCTCGAACTCTGTGGGAACGCCAAAGTGGAATGTTCTCGTGGTGTCAGTCGTTCCGTCGAGATATTGACAACCAGAGTCGCAGAGATAGATGGCGTTGGGATCGATGATGGAACAGCTTCCCTTCTGGGGGCTGTAATGAATGACGGCACCGTTAGGTCCAGTTGAAGAGATGGTATCGAAGGAGAGACCAGCGAACAAATCATGCTTAGAGCGGATCTGTTCCAACTTGTCAGCTCCATCAACTTCATCCATAACAGTCTTCTTGTTGACGAGTTCATTTTCAAGCCAAGCAAAGTACTCGGTTAAAGCAGCACCATCGCGAATATGGCAAGCCCGCATTCCTTCGAGTTCGACTTCATTCTTAACAGCCTTTGCATCCGCGACCGGGCTACGGGTCTCTTCGACCTTTCCCTCGCCGCCAAGGCTAAGGCTGAGAGCCCAAGAAGCCCTGTTCGACAACAAGAACTTAGCGGCGCTCTCACCCTCAGACTGACCTCTGGTGCTGAGGGCTTGAGCATCAGCAAAGATGGATTCGTATGGCTTGACGACAACATCTTGTCCCAAGTGGGCCTTGACCTCTGGGGTCAACTTGTCATCCTCGACGTAGATCTCAGCAGTGGTGGGCGTAATAACCGCATAAGAGAAAAACACGGGATTGTAGGGAATACTGCGCAGAGTTAGTCAATTGTCGATGGTGAATCGGGAGTAAAGACACCCTGCTTACTCGGTTCCTCTCAGGTTGAATAGCCAGGCAATCTCGTCGAGCATAGCTGCAATAGATTAGTCAATCTGCCGGGCTGGTTTATATGCGAGGCGACCTTACAGATGATAAAACCGGCCTTCTTCTTTGACTCAAGTTCCTTCCGCAGCTCGGCCACCTTCTCTTGGAACGGCTTGCCGGCATACTTCTCGGGGTGAACGCGCACTTTCTCGCTGGGGCGTGCGGGGCGTTCCTTTCCCCAAACCAAGTCGACCAAGTTCTCTGAGACTCCTACGAGGGATGAACCATTCTTTTTAAGGGTCTCTGCCAACTTCCGTGCACCGGCTAATCTGAATATTAGCGCCACTATGCACTTCCACATTCGAAGTAACACTCACACGCTGTGATTAAAGAGGGGTCAACACCAACGGCCTTGCCTCCTTGGGCCTCCTCCGTGGTCCTATCAACAAGATCAGTTCCCGTATAGATCATTCCACGTAACTTTAATCTCTTACCATTCCTGCCATGTGGGTACACCCTCGACTCCACCCTTCAAGAGCTGCCAGTTGTTGTCCAATTGTTTCGCAGCTTGGTTGAAGTATCGCCCATCGGTGGACAGTGCAGCTTTGCTCAAGGAGATGATCGCAGTACCAGCGGAGCCAGAGAATCCTGATATGAATTCTACGGAAATGTTAGCTGCCGGCGCGGGCAAACCAGCGGAAAGTGGGGGAGGGCGATCATTGACCTCGTCGGGCATCACACGGCGCAATGTACTCGGACTGGTGGCTATCTTCTGAGGGCACAACTATACAAACTGGTAAGTACAACTTGTTTAAACTCATGGCGACACAAATATGATGTCATACTGTAAACATCCACCTTGTGCTGCTGCATCAGCTGCCTCAGCTTCGACAAGCGTTCAGAGGTATCCACAGCCCCCATATCGATCGTGTAGCGTGGACCAAAAACAGAGAAGTATCTTGGGCGGGAGAGTGGCCTTAGCGATCGCAAAGATGTCCAAAGGCGTGGATGAGAGAGGGGCATGGACGGTCAAGGGATTCTCAACCTGTTAGCTTTCGAGAAGCTAAGCGAAGTAGGAAGGGACTGAAGTCAGATAAGTGCACGATAAGCTAATCCCGCAGGTCGTGTGTGCTTTTACAGGTTGGCTTTTGGCCATAGGGCGATCTTCGGAGTCACGGCTAAACACGGCCCACTTTGTGTTGTCATGTTTGCACTATCTATACTCATCCATACAACACACCTTTATACAATCACTTCTCAATTCTTCTTCTCGGTATTGATCTTATCTATCTTCGAGTGCAACATATGTACTTTATACTAAATTCTTTTTACCTAGGCTAAGCTTCATACCCGCAGCCCTGGAGTCATGCTAGCTTTAATAGGACAATATGACTCGCGCTTCAATAAACCGATAGAGTTTATATGCACGGGGGCTTGTGCGTAGATCTAGTAGCCTTGGAAATTAGGACTGTGCCCTTGCAATTGATCAAAGCCATTCCGGGAGTTATTATGCGGCCCAAAGGAGTGACTTACTGGAACGTAAAGTCGTGATCGATGGTAGATATTTGAGGAAGTTTATATATTTGTCACAGTGAGCATGATAACTCCTCGAATCTAATATTTGACATATAACATGTAACATGTTCTACGGAGACTCTGTAGCTACATAGTTCAATCAAAAGGGTCACGTGATATGAGAGGAGCTCCCGCAGTTACCGCTACAGACACCGCCTCGGTGGTAATTGGTTAACTGATACAAACACTAGATTCTGCCCGTCATAACCCCCCGGGATTGTATATGTCACTCCTCTTTTTCATCTTCACAACCACGCGCTTGTTGAGACAAAATGGCAACATGGATGTCTGACGAGGGCCTCGGAGCCCGAGAGTCAATCTCAGAAGCCCATATTGTATGTCATTTCCACCTCTTAAGATTCAACGGCTAACAAAGAACCAGCTGGTCACCGAGCTCTATAATCCAGCGAACCAACGGGACCCCGCCAGAATCAATGAGATCCAGACGCGCCTTCAACAACTTCAGAAGACTGAAAATGCATGGGCAATTGCTGATTCGCTTCTGCAAAGTGAACACTCTGCCCATCATCGCTTCATGGGAGCCCTTACATTCACAGTGAAGATCAATGTCTCATGGTATGGTCAATCTTACTGATCCGAGCCACTTCAATCTCATCTTAATGCGATGAACGATTGTTAACCTCGGATACCCATAGGAATGAAATCAACCAAGATTCCGCCGCCGAGATCATGCAGCACTTGATCAATCGCTTTGTTGCTTTGGTAACCAATGGTGAACAAGCAATGGTTGTGAGAAAGCTTGCTTCAAGCTTGGTTGCCATTTTCAAACACCCAGTCACACCATGGAAACAAGCTGTTTGGCAGTTAGCTGCGAGCCTCGTCCACGGCGGATACGTATCCGAAGAACAATCACAAGCGGTGGGATTCCAGGAGCAGATATTGCCAGCATTGAGCAAGAGTGGATCAGGTGCATTGCTATTTTTCTCAATTGCACTCGCAGAGGAGGCTCTACGACTAGACTCTGAACCCCAGGATGGGGCTGGAGATACCTCCGCTATCCAGCGAGCTATAAGCAACATTAAGGATGGTTTGCTCCTGGTTCAATTTGTCATTGGGGAGACCATACAGCATGCAAACGCAGCCACGGATGATGCAGTTGACGTAGCGCTAGCGGCTGAAGCCATGAATTCATGGAAGGTGAGTAAATCCCGGGTTTTGGTCCATCCCAAAGACCACAATCGCTAATTTGACTCCCGCCTCGCAGACATGGCTAGGTGTTCATGGAAATCGCCAACGCTCTTCTGCTGAAGATGTCAATGCATTGGCAGTACGGTGTGGTCAGACCGTCATTGAGACATTGAGGGTACCCAGCTTAAGTGAGAGTGCGGCTGCTATTTTGACCCAAGCCTTTGAAAGCCGGCGCTGGGCCTTTGACGACGACTCATTGTGGCTTATTTCTGAAATTCTTGCCGATTCAATCGTAACCATCCACATTGCCGCCGTAAGGAGTGGCGAAGAAGGAGTGGAAAGCATGTCGTTTGTCGACCTCTTGATTGCATATGTCTCGCATCTGCACTTAAATATCTTCAGCGACCCTATAACACCACAAAATTCAGCGATCCTCACTCTTATCCATGGGATTTTCAAAACCCCTGGCTATGCTTCCATTGATGATCTCGGAACTCCACGTGTCTTGGAGTTTTGGAACGACATCGCAGAGAGTCTCCCTGATGAACTCGAAAAAGACACCCCTAGATATGACTTAGTGAAGTCACATCTAGCCGAAGTTGTCTTGGGCCTTTCCAGCAAATTACTATATCCCACGTCCGAAGATTTGGAAGATTGGGGCGAGGAAGAGCGGAGCGAATTTGGTGCCTTCCGTCACGAGGCCTGTGATTACTTACTTTCAGCATACCCCGTACTCGGTGTTGACCTGGTCACTGTCTTTCAGAGAAGCGCAACGTCCCACCTGGAAGGTCGGGACTGGCGTAATTTCGAGACGGCTATGTTCTGCATCGCTCAGCTCTCAGAAGCAGTGGATGAGAACGGCCATGCCGACCAGTGTCTAGACGCCATCTTTGGCAGCGATTCTTTTGCCCGGCTCTGCGCAGGTGGGGATACTGGAATACCACTCAAAGCTCGTCAGACCCTAGTGGATTCATTCGGAAAGTACGAATCATACTTTGAGCGTCACAGTTCGTTACTCCCGGGTGTCTTGAACATCCTCTTCGAATCCCTTAACTTTGAATTGTGTGCGCAGGCGGCTTCCAGGTCTATATTGACACTTTCAAAGTCGTGCGCTCGCGTCTTGACGTCAGATCTTCCTGCATTCTTGGACCAGCTGGACCAGTTTAGAAGCAAGCCGACGGCAACTGTTTCCACCATGCCCAAGGTTTTGGAAGGAATTGCGACAATCATTCAGAGCTTGCCTAGTGACCAGGAAAAGGTACAAACACTAGAGAGAATTCTTGGCTTCTTTGTCCAGGAAGCTAACACAGCACGGGAAGAGGTCACCGGTCCTGCTCATGAATCTGGCCGTCTACGTGGACATCTTGTGCTGAGCTGCATTGCCAGTATCGGAAAAGGCCTTCGTTCAGAGAGCGAAGTAATCGATATCGAGCTTACCAAGGAAGGAAACCCCTACCCTCCATCATTCTGGAACTCCGGACCAGGTGCCGAAGCCCAGCGCCTGATCATGGAGGCCATGAGACTTCTAATTGTTGGTTTCCCCGTGGATAGCAGCATCATTGAAGCAGCCTGCGATATTTTGAAAGCCGGCTACACTGAGCGGGCAGGACTTTTCGTCTTCCCGCCCTCTATGACAGTGGACTTCATCAAGAGCTTTCCCCTCGGTATCTCCGGGACGGATGTTATTATGGCGACCGCCTCGTCATTTTTAGCATCGCACGCTCGGCATGCGATGAGCATTCGCAGCGAGGCCGAGGCGCTCATTGATCATGTAGCCCAGCTCTTCTCTTCGATGCTCCAGAACCCGGATGTATACGACCCGGAGACTGCTAATGCGGGGATTGATTTCCTCTCGCGTCTCTTACCAAAGTATTATCCAATCTTGTTTACTCCCGTAAAGTCAACATTGAGCACGGAGTCCCCTCTCGCCGTGCTTCTCCACTTCACACTTCATGCATTGACACGACCTGAGCCACTTCCTCTTCGATCTGCTTCTGGATTCTGGGTTGCATTAATAGATCTCCGCGGAAGCTCTTCAGAAGAAATCAACATACTCGAATCAGTCCATCAAGAGTTTATTCCACGCTTGTGTTACACAATCATCCAGCAGATTTCAGGCCGATGCGCAAGATCAGACTTGGTCTCTCTGACTGATGTTCTACGACGCACTGTTTTCAAGAAGATGGCATTGGCGCGTCCGGCTCTGAAGTCTGCGCTTGATTCTTTGAACGCCCAGGTCACAGATGCAAACGGACAACAAGTGCCACTTCTATCTGCACAAGACAAATCACGGTTCTTGGAGTCTCTTGTCATTGCTAGAGGTGGTCAGAAACCATCTCTTGATATTGTGCGTTCCTTTTGGTTGAAATGCCGTGGGATGAATTTCGATTATGCCCAGTAATGGAAATTTCCTTGCTGGTCTATGACCTGATGATTGGAGTTGATTGGTGCTGCAACTTCGGTGTTCATTTAGATATCCATTTGCATGACATACGCGGTGCAGCTTGTTTAATCCTGGTTGGGAATTTCTCATTGCATTCATCTAAGCGCCATAATTGAAATTTATCCATGTTATCTAGTAGTTCAGCCGCTGTGCGTACAAAACGGAATTCTATAGTCCAATAAGTATGAGACCTATGCGTATACTCGGGTCCAGGTAGGATGTGGTCCAATGGGTAAACCCCCGACGTCCAACAAACCGTCAGACTGCGGACTGCGGTTGTAAGGATAATCAAATCCAGGACCTATGCCTCCTTAGGAATGTTTGATGTCTCTTACAGTAGTACCTGGCTTATTGTGGAATATCTACAAATGCCATGTGACTATGTACCCACTTAGGACCCACTAACCTTATCCCATGAGATCTGTGAAACATCCATCAACCCTCTAGCTATAACATCAATAAGAATTAACCAAAAGACATCTGAAAGAAAATTGGGGAAGACATCGGGGTAGAAGCCTACATATGAAGTCAAATATCTCGAGCCAACCGGATATTCAAACCTTGGAATTATTCAACGCTTACATCGTCAAGCACAGAATCCGCATAAGCAGCCCACAATTCATGTTAGCATGAACCCGATACACGACATTGGATTCCCCAAATGGAAGTTTGAAGAAGATACTCCGTACCTCTCAACGACTTCCGTAATTCCCCGTCGGAGAGGACAGCGGAGACTACGGAGTACACTAGTCGTATAATGAGTTTGACAGCCGACGCGCCGATTGGCTGTTTTCCCTAGCCGCAGACTAAGAACGCTAGTCTTGACTTCTAGTCGGCACGAATCTCCCCGGACCCTCGGTGATCTGTCACTCGGTGACAGTAGCCTATCAGATAGCAGAATTGGGATTAGTTTAATTTGCGCTATGCACATCATATTCTTGTGCCAAGGAATCTGTCCAGTATTCTACTGGATGATCCATATGAGATATTGTCTCATTCTAACGTTGAAGCCCCGTATAACGTAGTATGCCATGGATACATAGTATTATTGTCGTGAAAGCATCGTACTTGGGAGAGAAATGTATCAAATCGTATAATGTATATGTCACGTTAGACATCTACTCATGGCTCATGTACAACAAATTTTTAGGACACAATGATCAGGCTGAAACAAATGACAGAAAATTAATATCTACCAACCACGGCCAGCCAACTTATCAGCCTCGGGCAACTGCTTCACGTTGATACCGACCATAGCCTCACCAAGACCCTCGCTAACCTCAGCAAGCATCTTAGGGTCCTTGAAGTGAGTAACAGCCTGGACAATAGCACGGGCACGCTTCTTAGCGTCACCGGACTTGAAAATACCAGAGCCAACGAAGACGCCATCGCAGCCCAGCTGCATCATGAGCGCCGCATCGGCAGGGGTAGCAACACCGCCAGCAGCGAAGTTAACAACAGGCAGACGGCCGAGCTCAGCAGCCTGTTGAACAAGCTCGTAAGGAGCCTCGATCTCACGAGCGAACGCGCGCAGCTCAGGCTCGGGGTCCTGGCTAGCGAGGAGGATACCACGGGCACGGGCGATCTGCGCATTGACGGTACGCATGTGCTTAACGGCCTCGACGACATCACCGGTACCAGCCTCACCCTTAGTACGGATCATAGCGGCGCCTTCGGAGATACGGCGCAGGGCCTCGCCGAGGTTGCGGCAGCCACAGACGAAGGGAACCTTGTAGCCGTGCTTGGTGACGTGGTAGACATCGTCGGCGGGAGTGAGGACCTCGGATTCGTCGATGTAGTCAACACCAATGGCCTCCAGGATCTATAGACCGGTGATTGTTAGCGATATTATTTTTTTTTGTTGCTCCCCGCCACCGGGAGATCTCCGTTTGCCCCCCGATCTACTTGTCTGCCCCTCCCCCGCATAGAGATAATTGTCATTGTCACATACCTGGCATTCAACGAAGTGTCCGATACGGGCCTTAGCCATGACGGGGATGGTCACGGCTTCCATAATCTCCTTGATCATGCCGGGGTCGGACATGCGGGCGACGCCACCCTCAACGCGGATATCAGCGGGGACACGCTCGAGGGCCATGACAGCAGCGGCACCGGCTTCTTCAGCGATGCGAGCCTGTTCGATGAATCTGTTAGTTTTTTATGCTCAATTGCATCAATTCCTTGTTAAAGATATCATACCTGCTCGGCGTTCACGACATCCATAATAACGCCACCCTTCAGCATCTGGGCGAGACCGGCCTTGACAGTGAAGTCATTGCCGGTGGTTCCGTTTGGAGCAGCCATTGTGAATTGTATTATACGTAAAAGAAAGAAGGGAATATGAACAGAAGTGAATTGAAGTGAAGAATAAAAAAGAAAAAAAGAAGTGGAAAGATCCCAAGAGTGAGTCAGTCAGAAATACACTTTTCCCCAAAGTTACTTGCCTCAGGCCCCACGGTGCCCCTCGCAAATCCCTGGAAAGTCATCTGTTTCCGTTTCCCGAGGAGATCCATCCGGTGAAAGACTAGACCCGCATATTCTCTCTTAGGTAACCCTTGGTGCTCTGCCTCGGAAGATTCCTGGTTAGTCACCTTGTTACATTGACTCTTGGCTCTTGGCCTTAAGACCTTGGCATTAACATGACTGCCTAATCTAGTAGGTGAGATATCTTTCTATTCTGTTGTAGATGGAAACCCAGTTAGAGGCAATTGGAGACAGTTGGATTGAGGGCCATCAAGATTTCAATTGCAGGAGTGACTAATCACTGATATTACCGAATTAGGTAGGCTTTATCCTATTTTGGCAGGAGAGTTCCTTGATTTGAGCATAACTGGTTCTCTCAGCCCTTCTATATAAACCCGTGTCTGCACCTGCATATAAATTTCCATCATATATTATACACATAGAATTGAGGGTCCAATACTACCTATGCACATTGCTACATACCCTATTCTAGAAGTATACACACCCCATATGCCTACACATCTCCCAGTAGCCACCACACTCGTAGTAAAACCAATTAAGAATTAAACAAGTTAAATTAAACTAAAATAAGAAAAAATCAACCCCCAAACTTCAAAACAAGAGCCTCAATCCTGCAGGATCCATCCATGGATGAGCTCATGTATGACGTCACCCGATATCCCTTATCGGCTTCCCAGCTCATCTCCAACAAACCCCTCCAGATCCGACTCTCCAACTCGTTCAATCGCAAGATACACAAGCCAAACAAACAAAATGTCTTTCAGATTATTTACGTACCAACCAGCCACCCTCCTCCGCCTGGGTCTAGGCGTTGGCATTGGTCTCTCCGCTGCAACCATGCACCCCCTGTCACCCTTCCGCGCCGCCCCAATGAAATGCGAGTACGCTGTGCCCCAGCAAACCGGCTTCCACAAAGATTCAGGGTGGGTTGTTAATCCCGCTGAATCTATGGGGCAGAAGCAGAGCCCTAAGCGAAATGGGCTGTTGAATGCGGAGACTATGCGCCAGATTAGTTTGGGGAGTGTGTTGGGACTTGTTGCTGGTGTTGGGTTGAGGGCGTTTTCGAAGGCTTTGGTTGTTATTCTTGGTATGGGTGTTGTTCTTATTGAGGTATGTACAAGCTACTTTGGTTTCCCTTTGCGTTGGATTTGTTTTGCTATCCGAGCTTACGGGCTATGGATGGCTATACTTGTGACTGTATGCTGATGCTTCTCGATTATAGTACGCTGCGTCTAAAGGGTACAATATCCTTCCGCTCAATCGGATTCAAAAATATGTTAAGCGCGTTGACTTGCGTCGCGCCATGAGTGAAAAACGCCCATTCAAGATGAGTTTCGGTGCTATGATGGCAATGGCAGCGTTTGCGAATTTCTAGGCCCTACCGGTTCGGTTAGACGGAGATCAAACGCTACTTGTACATACTCTCGAACAATGCTAAGTCGGACTTCGCCAATAGGGATATAATCTGAGCTATTGGACGTCACTATTAAAATTGGTAAACTGTTCATTCATACAGGGGTATCATGAGTCTTGATATATTCCACACCAAATCCAAGGGGGAATCTACGCTACCCCAGCACCAAATCCTCCAGCACGCCTTCCATTTCATCGCGAGAGAGTGGCACACCCAGTATCTCCATGCCGCTTGCGTCCATGCGCGAAGTGATCATCTGGTGATCGTGGAACTCCTTCAGCAGGGTACGGAACATCATCTCCGAAGAAGCGACAAACTCTTCCGTTGCCTTCTGGTAAAGGAGACGGAACTCGATGCCAGTGTCATCGCCAGCTTTGCCGCCCTCTGTCGCTCCCTCATCGTCTGACTGGTGCCCGTCGTCCAGTAGAGTAATCAGTTCTGTTAGCAGGAGGCGGTACAGGTTGCGTGCATTCTCGGGAAGACTCTTAAGCACAAAGCCCACGCCGTCTTTCCCGCCGACGCGACGGCCCTTGCGTCCAAGGAGAGCGTTGACCTCCTCAACGACATCGGCCTCTACTGAGAACGGTAGGAAGGTTGTACAGTCATGGAAGACGAAATTGAACTGATCACGCAGACTGATATCCCACATTACTGGGAAGTTGGGGGTGTCGGCTGTGACCAAGAGACGGATGAGCGGTGTTGCAGCCAGACGGGAGAGGAGCGCTTGGTTGGCTGCACGACGGAGAGGCGGTGCATCAATAGAGTTGATCAAAACGGTGACGGGCTCTTTGTGCGACTTGAGCGCAGATTGTAGGAGCTCGAGGACCTCGGTTGGCTGTGCACCAAGCTTGGATGGTGCATCGTCGCCCATTACGGCTGTGACAATCGTGGCGAAGATTGACCGGATGGAGATGCCTGGTGTGTAACCATTGACCATTACAATAGTAGGAGTCATAGTGGCTGATAAGCGGTGGTTGTAAATCCACTCCGCGAATTCATCCACTAGCTTGCGCTTGGAGCCGTAGCCAAAGAGGCAGATGTTAAAGCCTTCATCGAATTCGAATGCCCACTGCGGGAAAGATCGGTGGTGCAATGATTGTAGGTATTCCTTTTCTTCCTTGCATGGATCTTCATATTGTCCCAGCTTCTCGAAATATTCCTCATGCGTTAACAGCGGTACTTTGTTGAGAGTGGCATTTGATGTCTTGACAGGACCAGCGCGGTTCTGAAAGAAGTATCGTTCGTGTGCAGGAAGCTCGCCTTCCGGTGTCGGGGAGCGCTTATTTCTCGCGCCTTTTGGTCGTCCTGCGCGGCGCTTTGGTTGTTTGACTCCCTTCTCGGGAGCCTCTTCTCCACCTTCAGGTTCTATGCTCTCCGCTAGAGGCTGGCCTTTCTCCGTGTCCGGCTCATCTCCCTGTAAGATTTCTTCCGCTAGTCGTTCCGATCCATCCCAAGCTGCGTCTTCGTCCTGTTCGAATAACACTCGTGCGCTCTTCTTCCGGACAGATCGGTCTGCATTCTTAACTCGCGACGGGGTGGCTGCAACTGCGGACTTGGGCTTGGTAGGAGTAGCGAACAAACCACGCGCCTTGGATTTGTGGGTGGGCGTTTTCAGCCCAGACTGTTGTAATGGTGTCGCAGATAGACCGCTAGCCTTTTTGGGTGTTGATTGATCCCGTTCTGATGGGGGAAGCTCGTGGGAGGCATCGCCATTCGGAAGTGGAGCGTTGGGCGCGTGGCTGTTCAAGGCGCCATTGGATTGTTCTAGGGCTGTGCGTCGTCTTTTGGGTGTAGAAACAGGCGGCTGATCGCCGGCGTCTGAGAGCTTACGCTTCATAACGGCCAAGTCAGATAACAGTCACGTAGACGCGAAGGGGAAGGGAAGCAACAGTACCATCAGATCCGGAGAATGTGCACAGGGTCGGGAAGCAAGGGGCTTCCAAGATTAATGAATTCGAGATCTTTTATTTCAGGAAGCAGCAGGTCTGACACTGGAATGTAAGTATGTTGTAGTGAGTGCTTAATTGGAGAGTTGAAGGAATCAAATTGGAGCGGATGGGTTTCTCCGACTCCACTAGGGTTCAATGTTGGAGGTATAGCGGCGATTACTGAGTATATGGCCTTGGATTCAATACAATGCGCAATATTTTACCTAGTTTTACCCTCATCTGCATCTATGGTTTTCTACTCCTTGGTTTTCACTGATTTATATGGAATTCCCATTATGATTTTTATTCCAGAGGGCTAGACTAAAAAGTCGCGCGAGTCATGTGAACAAATTCACTGATCAGACTTCCAATTTTATATTCCAATTCTCCATATTTAGCAAGTAATACTCGATACATAAGTATGAGCGAAACCAATTTCAAGCTGATACCTCAATTGGCGGATGCATACCGCGCAGTTGCCGAGTGGGGAGCTCCCGACACCGGCTACTTTTTTTCCCTTGACTCACGCTTGACTCACAAGATCACCACATATAAGGGTCTGTCTAGTCTAGCAATTATCATAGACAGGTCTCATATATGGTTCCAACAACTAATTCTGCCACCATGGCCACTTCCCTCGCCCGCATGCTCAAGGGCCAAGTCCGATGCTACTCCGCACCGCTGGACATGGCCATCCCGGCCTCCAAACAACGCTACATCCCCACGACCGGCACCTACCCCCAGGGCTTCCAGGTCTCCGGAACCCATGTGGGCGTCAAAGCCTCCAACACCCGCTTCCCCGATCTGGCCCTGATCGCCTCCGATACGCCATGCTCGGCCGCCGCAGTGTTCACAACCAACAAGTTCCAGGCCGCGCCAGTGCAAGTCAGCAAGAAGACCCTGCAAAGCCGTAAAGGCAATGGCATCCGCGCTGTCGTGATCAACTCAGGCTGCGCCAATGCCGTCACCGGCAAGGGCGGCCTAGAGGACGCCGTGCAGATGGGAAGAAAGGTAGATGAGTGCAGCGATGTTGAGAACGACAGCTCTCTAGTGATGAGCACCGGTGTTATTGGACAGCGGTAGGCCATACCTCCTCTCTCAATCGCATAACCCACCCAATGAATCCCACTAACCAAACCGATCACCCACAGCCTCCCGATCTCCAAGATCCTCGACCGCATCCCAACAGCGCACTCAACCCTCGCCTCAACACACGAAGCCTGGCTCACCACAGCCCGCGCAATCTGCACAACAGATACCTTCCCCAAGCTCCTCTCGCGCACCTTCACCCTCCCCTCCTCAGACCGCACCTATCGCCTCGCAGGCATGACCAAAGGCGCCGGCATGATCCACCCGAACATGGCGACGCTGCTGGGCGTTCTCTGCACAGACGCCGCAGTCGAGCCTGCCGCGCTGCAATCGATCCTGAAGCATGCCGTGTCGCGATCGTTCAATTCGATCTCCATCGACGGCGACACCAGCACGAACGACACAATCGCCGTGCTGGCGAACGGAGCTGCAGGCGGCGAGACTGTGCGCGCGCCAGCCGCATGTCCCAGCGCCGACTACACTGCGTTGCAGAGCGTTGTGACTGATTTCGCGCAGGAGCTGTCGCAGCTGGTTGTGCGGGACGGCGAGGGCGCTACTAAGTTTGTTACTGTGCGCGTGCGCAACTCGCCCGATTACGAGTCTGGACGACAGATTGCTTCGACTATTGCCCGCTCGCCGCTGGTTAAGACGGCTCTCTATGGCAAGGATGCTAACTGGGGTCGTATTCTTTGTGCCGTGGGCTATACGCAGGGTGTTGCTGAGGGGACTATTGTTCCCGAGCGGACTTCTGTTAGCTTCCGCCCCGTCGATGGTAGTGAGGTTTTGAAGTTGTTGGTTAATGGTGAGCCTGAGGCTGTTGATGAGACCCGCGCTGCTGCTATTCTGCAGAATGAGGATCTTGAGATCGAGGTTGATCTTGGTGGTGGTGAACAGGGAGCTGCTGGATGTGGTGGTGAGGATGCTGTTTATTGGTTCTGTGACTTTAGTCACGAGTATGTGACTATCAACGGTGATTACCGCACTTAAAATAGACTTATTTAGCGGTAGTGGAAATGAATGAATCGAGGAAGTTATTTCGGGACTAAAGGCTTTTGAATGGTGATGATGTCTATAGTTACGACGAATTGTTGAAATAAGTATGAATATGGATAGGCAAGGATAATGGCGAGTTGAATATATGATTTTGGTTTTTCTAGACACATATGGTTACAAGGCCCCAAACAGGGCACTTTTCATCGCTAAGAACCGTCTATAGAGATAGATTAGACCAATATGACTTTACACATGAACGACATCGGATGATAAGATATTGTGTCGACGTGCAGAGGTTCCCGAACAGGGGACCTCGGATATTCATCAGCAGGTTGATCAACCTGCAATCTGAAGATCAAGCGGTATGGTTCCAATTCAACCAAATAGACGGCGCCGATCCATTCACCCAAAAAGTATAAGAAGAGCGGATAGTAAAAAAAGACAGAAAACTAAACAGATTTGCAAAGGACCGGTGTGATCCTATGTCATGCTGCTCGTTAAAATACGGGCAGTCTCGTTTAGCTGCCGGGGACGAGGCCCTTGAGGCCAGCGCCAATGTCACCCTCGCGGGCAGCAATCTCGAAGTAACCGTAGATGATGCTGTATTGAGCTGTTAGTTGAGATGAACACAATTGAGAAATCAACGGAATAACTTACGTAACGGCAAGAAGAATACCAGTACCGCTGCCAAGAGCACCCATAAGGTCGGAGGCGACAGACAGACCACCAATGCAGGCACCACCGAAAGCAGCAGCAGTAGGGATGACGCGCTTCAGCTCCTTGTACATGCTCTGCTCACGGTGACCAGACATGACGAGACCCTGATCCTTGAGCTGCTTGGCAACGTCACGAGGAGCGGAGCCGGACACCTCAATCCAGGTCTTGGAGAAGAGAGCGCAGGCAACAAGCATGAAGGTGATGTAGACAGCGGTGTGGATGGGATCAAGAAGAGCCTCCTTAAAGTTAAGAGGAGGAGACATGTAGTAAGCAATACCTGAGGCGGCGTAAAGCTGAGCAGATCCCTCACGGGGCTCCCAAACTCCGAGGAGCTGGACCAGGATGTTCTCGGAGAAGCGCGAGTACAGCATCTGACTGATAAGGAAGATGTTGGAGCACAGAGCGGACTGGAGCATGATGGGCATGTTGGAGGTGTAGAACAGGCGAACGGGGTATGAGCCGCGCATACCACGCTGGCGGGAAGACTTGACGGGGATCTCAACGCGGAAGCCCTGGAGGTAGATGACAGCGGCGAAGACAAGGAGGGTGGCCAGGAGGTTCATGACGTTGGGCAGGTTCTGGCGGTAGAAAGCCTCGTACAGGGCGCGCTGCTTATCGGGCCAGGTAAGGAGAAGGTGGAACAGAGCGATGATAGCACCCTCGAATTCGGGGCCACGGCCGGTGTTGATGGTCGTGGGGGAGAAGGCCTTCCAGACAATGGACTCGCAAATGTTGGTGGCAATGAACAGGGAGATACCGCTGCCCAGACCGTAGCCCTTCTGGAGGAGCTCATCAAGCAGAATAACAACGAGACCAGCAACAACCAGCTGGACAATCAGGAGAACACAGATACCAGCACCAAGGTCACTGGGCTGGCCGTAGAGACCAGTCAGGACGTAAACACAGGCCTGGCCGAAGGAAAGAATAATGGCGAAGAGCTTCTGGGCGGTCTGGTAGAGCTCGCGGTCGGTCTTCAAGTCGAGGTTGACATCAATGAGGTGGGTACCGGCAAGGAGCTGAAGAACAAGATGTGTCAGTACAATTATCGCGAATAATGATAGGAGGTTGTGTTCTAGAATCGCATACCTGGAAGACCATGCCGGAGGAGATGATAGGAGTGATACCCAGCTCCATCAGAGTACCACGGTTACTGGCCAGCATCATACGGAGCCAGTACAGGGGGTCCGAAGTGTCGGAGGAGACAATGCCGTAAAGAGGCATCTGACTCATGACCAAGAAGATCATCAGAGTCAACTGCAACGTAATTCCGTTAGAATTCAAGTCGACTTTGCGCGAAGAGAGCGGAGTCGGGGTGACATACACCAGTCCACATCAACTTCTGGTTGAAGGGCACCTTGGTCTCAGGAGCTGCCACCTCCGGGAGGAGGGGCGTAAAGGGCTTGATCAAGTCAAGGAAGCGTACTATACTCCTCCATCAGCATTTGAAGACCAATTGAGGGCGACTCGAGATGAATTGTCGCGACATGCGAGACGAGGGTTCGGGGGACTCACGGCCGCTCATGGTGGCTATCTTCCTCCCAATCCGTTAAAAGAAGTAAAGAAAGCTGGAGTCGAAAACCAGCTAAAGGAATGGAAGTGAAATATTAAGAGAAATAAAACAAAAGGAGAAAGGGTGAAGTTGTCGAGAAGATGGGGGAGGAGGAGGGAAGAAGAAGACAGAAGTTCGCTGGCCACTTTTCGCTTCCGCGCTAATTAAGGCCACTTGGTCTTCGCCGCAACAACCAACTTGGTGACTCAACCAAAAAAGGGAATGGGAATATTTGAAGATAGTTGTACTAATATGAGCTTCAATTCAATTCTCCAGATCTTTTTTTTCTCTCTCTTTGTTACTCTTTCCAGCTCGATATATGCCCCCAACAAACTTGGCTCCAAGCTATCCCCACATTCCAAAGGCCACGGTAAACTACGCGATCGGTACTGGGGGGGGTCTACTATGGGGTAATTAAGGAATAATATTGGCATCCATCCCAAATAAATATTTCAACTGTCTTAGTGGTATATAGATGTGCCAGCAATCTATGAAAGAGTATAATATTGCATGAAAATCTACCTTCAAGGTCCAACGAGACCCAGGCAATCATCGATCACCACCTCGAGCTCTCCTAATCGTGTCTTCAGACCGCGATTCTCTTCTTGTAGAACACCCATCACACTCCAGGCCTCGGAAGCGGGCACGCCATAGCAGATGTTGCAATTGGACGTGTTACCATTACCAGTGAAAGAGCTACCTAAACGCGTTGAAGCAAGACCCTTCAACACCCGATCATATGCTGATGAGCGTGCAGGCGGTGCACTAGTGACCGCGACCAGGTTCTTCTGAATCGTAGGTGTTGGCATGGGGCCTGTCGGCGTAGACAGAGCGATCTGCGACATGTTGGGGGACGGCGCGGTCAGCGTTGAGGTGGGAGACTCGAGACCCTCACGCTGAGAGAAAACGCTATCAGCAACGCTCTCATCACCGGACTCAAAGCCCGAGTCGCTGGTGAATGTGCTGTGGCTAGCGCGCTTGCCTCCACGCCGAGGGGTTTGGAGTGCCATGGGAGGCACATCGTCATCGGGATGCACGGTACGGATTGTACCACTGCGATTGCGAGATTCCTCGTTCTTTCGCATTTGTCTTTCTTGTTCTAATTCCTCCGCCATGGCCTGCATGGCTTTCTCTTGATCAAGCACCTTGGCAGCCACGCCGTCTAGCTGCATCTTGAGGTGATCAACTCTAGCGCGAGTCTCTTCGAGCTCCTCTTGCTTTTCATTCTTGTCCACTAATGCCTGGTGCATAGCAAAGGTGCGCTGCTTATAGGCCTCCTGCATGCGTCGTAGTACTTTGTCGGCATGATCTCGTAGGGCATCCAGTGCCTCATGGTTGGTATCGTCGGTCGCGGGTAGTGAGAGAGCGGCAGCTATGTCCAGGTTCAAAAACTCATCGTCTGCTGGTTCTGGGAAGTTGGGTTTGCTCTGTTGTCGCCGGAGACCAAAGAATGAAAACCGATTCGTTGGGGTCGAGTTCTGCCTCGTATGTGACGTGGAGGTTGGAGCTGGACGGGAATCAAATCCGGTCGCGTCTGAAGCGTTATTGGGGCCCATTTTCAGCCCCAATTCGACTGGATCTGATTTCCCCTGAAACCAATCTGACAAGACCCTAGCCCTTGCTTCAAGCTTCTTCTTGGGGAAGGTTTCTGTCCAAGGGGTATTCTTCGGGCCTGATATTGTATCTTTACCCTCTTCAAAGAGCGGTGGCCTTGCAATATATTCAGTGTTTGCCCGGCGATGTGAAGGCAGACTGTTAAATTGATTTCGTGAGGTTAGATGAACCGCCGATCTTGGGGGCGTCAAGGCAACGGTCTCGTGAGGTGGCGTGCCATCGGAATGCAGGGTGACAGGTGCGTGAGAAAGTTCGAGAGACATGTTTTGACTGGGTAGTTCGACAGGAGAAGCAGACAGGATGCAAATGCCACGTCGATTCGAGCCCAATGTGGCGTTGGTGTGCAACGTTGGGGGGATTTGCAGTAACTAGGGGAGGTATGTAGGATATGATCAAGGACGAAACAGGGAAATATTCAGTGTCAAACGTAAAGGAGTATAGTAGTTTCAGTGAAGTTTTCGTGTTTCAAAGTGTTGAGTCTTAATTTTCTTCGAATTTGAAACCAAGAAAGACTCTCAAAAAAGCATTAGTGACAGGAAAACAAGAGGCTGGGGAGATGAAATAGCGGTGGCTGAACGGCCTGGAGCTCTCTCCACCTCCAAGATCCACCATAACTTCCTTTCCAATCCGATTAATTATAGCAATAACTACTCCGTATTGATGTCGCCACTATTCCGTAGACTTCTTTCGAGTTTGATACCGTCATCTATTTTCCCGCTCCCGCTATGCATGGTTTCACCTGCACGAGGATCTACTATGGAGTACCCACGATGGATATAACTCTTATTGGTTAATATTGCCTGGCAGAATTTCAGTTTTCAGTAATATTGATGTCTCCAGATGCCTGATTACCTCGATATTCGCACCTATACTACCGTACAAATCTGGAATTGCCTTATTTCTCGGCGTTAAACACTCGCTTGTACGAAGATGCCGGTAAAGAAGAACCCTAAGACTTCAATATCACCAATTTCAAAATGCACCTACTTCTGTCTCTATGAAATATATATATATCTGTACATTGATAACCTATTATCCATTGAATCCCCGTATAACCCACTGCTGGTTGGGCCAGCCTATTGCTAGTACAGAGTATCGCATATCGAAGAAGATACGCCGGCTTGAAGAAGAGATATGATTCTATCTTTATAAGCCCCAAGATCAACAGATGAACGTACCATTATGATAAAACATGTGTACAGGCGTAGAAAAAGTTGAAATTAGTATACAAATTAAAATTGTATACAGCTTTGAGAAGGCGGTGAGATCTACGGTGAGGCATTATCTAATGAGAGAGCTATGTCTACCTAGCTTGGAATACTTAGTTGCTTGTAATCTGCGTCATTGCACGTTTTCTACAAACTCGTATCGTCATGGCTTCTAGTTTAAAGCATTTGTCTAATGCTTTGGCAACGCTTGATCAACTGTCGCACTCTTCATCTTCAATGGACAATGTCCCATCTGACCTTGAAACCTCAATTCGTTGCGCAGGCGCCCAGCTCACTCAAGCTGCCGGCGTTCTCCTACACCTGTCGCAAGATATAATTGCCCAGGCTATCGTAATCTTCACGCGTTTTTGGCTTGGCGCTGACGGCGGTAGCCTACGAATCTACTCAGTCAAGGTAACCGGCTCTAGGAACACTGAACCTTCCTTTTGATCCACTAATCAGAGCAGGATGTATCCGCCGCAGCCTTGTACCTGACGGCTAAGCTTTCCTTCCAACCAACCTCCCCGCGCTCCGTCCTCAATGTTTACACATTGCTCCTATCGCAAGATGCATCGCCCTTGTGGTTTGTGCGTCAGAGCGGGGCTCCTGAAACCCCTCCATCTCCTGAAACCTATATCCTATCCGAAGGAGGCTATCAGTCCGCCCGGCTAGTCCTCCTCCGCACCGAAACGGTTATCCTCCGCACTCTTGGCTTTGATACACATGTCGCCCTACCACACACTATCGCTTTGACATATCTGCAAACTCTGGGTGTGGCAAATCCAGCTGTGGCTCAGCGGGTCATCCAGCACCTCAATGCGGCCCTACTCTCGCCCCAGCTTCTTTATGTCACTCACCAGCCAAATGCCCTGGCTGTGGCTGCCATCTACCTCGCATCACGCGAAGAGGGCGTCAAGCTTGTGGATAGCGAGTGGTGGGAAGTCTTCGATGTCGACCGTGAAGAGCTAGGCTTTTTGGTCGTAGGCATGAAGAGTACAGAAGGCTTTATGCGGGCCGAGATCAGTCGGTGGAAGAACAAAGCTATTCCAATGGTAGTCAATGAAGTAGATGCCGAAATTGAGCGACGTCGAATGATGGAGGAGGGTGAATGAATATGCTTTGATTTTTGCTGAGAACATCAGATTTCAAGATCAAAGATATATTGGGAAGGATGTTCTGGTAGAAGCTAGCAAGCTATCTACTGAATCATCCACTTCAGAGTGGCGAGAATGCCATTAATCGACATAAGGCCTCACAGCGAGAAGGCCTGCGAGATCCTGCTTCACCCGGAAGGGATCCTGCCACCCAACAACAAACGGCCTCGTCTCTGTGGATACGGTCGAAACCTGGGGCCAGAAGATTAGCTGTTTCGACAGCTTTAGACATCGCCGGTGAATCCTGCCGTCTGCCAAGCTGAACATTTATATTACATACCATACTTTCTCCTATGGCCATAACGATCCAAGTAGATGTATTACGCAGCGGTATAGAGGCCAGGGTTCAAACCCCCATTTCTAGAGAATATTGATGCCTTGATGTCTTACTTTTGGCCTGGTTGTTACCTAACCACTCCTTCTCCCGGTTTATCAAATATTGAAAGCTTATACATCAAAAAGTAGTTTGTACAAAGCCTGTTTCCGCCTTTCTTTTACCGTCGACCTACAAAACTGGTATATAAACACAGCCTAATATCCGAGAAGACCACCGAGAAGACCACTGAAGAGACCACTGAAAAGACCACTGAAAAGACCACTTAAAAGACATCACAAGGCCGCTTATACAGCCTACTATCTTGTGATAGTAACTCGGTATCTTAATTATTCTGCTGGTCCTATTCAGAAAATGAGGCATCAGGGCATCGATATTGCCTAGAAATGGGGGTTTGACCCCTGGCGTCTATACTGCTGCGTACTACGATGTATGATATTCCAAACTGACAAAAGCAGCTAGGTAAATTGCTGATCATAACTGAATCACATAGATGCTTCCATCCTTCAGGGCTATTCCATATGCTCCGCTCGAGAGATACCCTCAATTGCCTGGTGATTTTGTCCTCCGATACTCGCTCCACATTCAGGACATTTGGCTAGCTCCATCGGCATACCACATTCGCCAATGGCAAACTGAAAAGCAGAAACAGTTAGCGGTATATCCCGATTGGAGGAAGACGTCGAATTTTTAGCAATATCAACTCACAGGATGTCCATTGATACAATTGTACCAATGCCCAGAGTTAGTCGCCATGCCTGATCGCCCGCCAACCATGGCAATCTTGATGGATGCAAGCTCCTCTGGCGTCACCTCTTCGTACCGCGCTTCAAAGAGACGATTCATTTCCCGAACCCTCTCTCGAAGCTCCTCACAATTTCCCAATTGATCGCATAGATCCAAAGCATCGGCAAGGAACTCACGTGCCATATTCCTGCGGTCATCATGCGATTGTAACCCCGGACTCTTCCGTCTTTTTGGACCAAGTATATCCTTTCCGGTCGTTGGATGAGTGCGATGGCACCATCCAAATAGTTCGGATATTTTAGTAAACGCAAGGGTTGCAGTGATGACAATGCGGAAGAGGCTCCCCTCCTTGGCTTTGATGATCAATTCCCGACAGTCCTTCAAGAACGGTATTGTGCACTGATTAAGGTGAACAATAAGTATTGTCTGCTCAACCCTCGCATTTCGGTTCAAGAGGCTGAACTTCTGGTGAAGAGCGAATTCTCGGGCCTTGATAGAGATCAATCGTGCCCCAAGAGTTATCTGGTTGTCAGGTCTTGGAGTTGATGTTCTCAGTCTTCCAAGTTGGCTAGAGATAGATGTGTCTTCGCCACTGGGTGGTTTCTGGCACAAAGCAATAGCATCATTAAGCCGCTTCGCGGGTTGGTGCTCTTCATCCATCATTTTACTTAGGGCTGTAGCTTGCTTTGCAATGTTCACTAATCGCCCATCTCGTACTTTGATCTGCTCTTTCGTAAGGCTGGTTATTGGCTGTACCTTTGTGTCTTTGGCAGCAAGCGCGTCTGTGATGGTGTTCAAACGAGAATTAAGGGCTTCGAGGTCGATGCGTCCTTGCGTTAAGAATCGTTTGCATGTTTCGTCCATAACAGCTCGATTGATGACACGATTGTATCGTTTTGTTACGAACTGACGAATGGGCTGTTTGCAATCAGGGCACGATGGTATGATGGTGGCTAGCGAAGCAGAGAAATCTCGCAGGCCGTCGAACTTGCCAGATCCGTCCCTTGTGTACACTTCATCCAGGCCGACTAGACCATCGACCGACTCACTGGTAAAGAAATGACCACATCCAAGCACCACAATTGGACTCTCGTCGAGGTTGATTTCAGAATAGGATTTCTATTCTAGGAAATCGACACGAGCGTCTGGCTTGTCACCGCATTCTTGGCACATACCACTTGGACACTCCTCTCCGCAAAGACTCGGGCACTAATGGCCGCAGTTGAGAATTTCGGTGCATCGCTCGTCACATAGAAGTCGGTCACAAGGTGCTGCACATGGCATTGAGCAGGAGCCTTGATAAGGACAAACCCAAGTGCATTTCTCGATACATGGTGCACATGCCTCTCCGCAGATAGAGCCACATGCCGAGTGTAAACATCGAACCTTTTTGTTGTTAGCATTATCAGTGTGTAGAGATGAGAAACGGAGAAACCTAGAGTCACCTCGCATTTAGATTCACAATTTCCACAGCTTTTGCCATCATAGCATAGCTTGAGGCACCTATGGTTGCAGACTCCATGTGGACGATCGCATATCTTTGTACATCTCGGATGTTCAAACGATACTACGCCGTTTTCTTTCTTTAAGCAACGTCCACAGACACCTCCACATTGGTGACCACATTCGAGAATCTCGGTGCATGGTTCAGTGCAGCTAAAACCCTCAGATATAATATCAACAGAGCAGGCGAGTCGGAGAACATGGCCACACTTGGTAACGGTCTTGTCGACTTTAAAGTCACATTTTATAGATGCTAAATTGCCTATCTGGTGGCATCTGAGCGTCCTTTTAACATAGCCACAAGGCAGCATCACGTCTAGGATTTCGACCATGCAAAGCCCACACTCTGTACCACAAAGCTTAGGACATGCGTGGTCACAGGACTTCCGGATTCGAGGGCAAGGCTTACAACATGCAAACCCATCGTGCATGAACAAGGAATGACATTTCGCCTGGCACTGATGACCACATGGCTCGAGCCGGCGTATGCATGGAAGATTGCATCCGCCTTCTGGGCTTTTTCTCTCGAATTCTTGAGGCTCAGAACAGAGGATAGGTACTCCTGGGTGGCGGGGGTAATACAGCCCCAGTTCCGTGCCCACTGCGTTCATATGGGCGAGCTGAGCGTGAACATCAGCCCACATTGGGACATTGAGGTAGGTCTCCGAATTTCCAATTAGGTATATCCCGTGCTGTGCTCGACTGAGAAGCACGTTAATACGATTCTCGGTGCGTAGAAAGCTAACTTTGCTTTTCAAGTTGCTCCGAACAAGGGAGACGACGATCACCTTTGCCTCTTCGCCTTGGAAGTTGTCAACAGTAGTAAGGCGGAGCGTCTGAAGAAGTGTTTTCCTTTTGATTAGTTTGTGGGATCCTAGCTGAGGAGGCTCATCTGTGCCCACTCTAAGACCCTCGGCTGCTAAGGTCTCCAAATCCCGCTCGCTGAGACATATTTCGAAATCATTGCTGAGCGATGCCCTAAGCTTCCGCAGTTGGCCGGTATATGGAGTCAGGAGAGCAATATCCTTGGTGCTGTACTCTCCCTGTCGGACGAGATGGCGCACAAGAGCGGTCGCTATATCAACCTCCCACTGATTACTGTGTGATTTCATACGAATGTCGTCTTCTCTGGAGTCTTCACTATACCGATGATCTAACCAGAAGACATTCTCTCGCATTCCGACGACGTTTGGTAGATTTATCACGCTTTGGTGATCTTGGAGCTTTGGGTAGACTCTCCTAATGAGTTAAGAAATCTCGGGTCTTATTCTTCGCTGTACATTAAGTTGTGCAACAGGTGCAGGACTGAGGCCTGGCTCGCCGACAGCACGCCTCTCAAATTAGCTCCGGTCCAGCTGCCAGGCTTTTCCAGATGATGACTCAAGGCCAAGTAAATAATTTTAAATTTGCGGCCGTAGTTGTCGATGATCGCCGATCTGGATAAAGTGCTCCACGCCCGGCATGAGTGATGAAATGACATGGGCCTCTATCACCTCAGCTGCCTCCTCACATACGATAACCTTTGCGCCTATGCGGCGTAATGTCTCGATATTTCGTGCGAGAGACGTTGTAGTGATACTAACAACGTCGGCTTGGACCAGCGCTCGCCGGTTTATCTCGTCATAGACAGCGTTGATCTTCGCACGCAAGCTCTCGGCGCTTTTGACTGCCTCAAACAGTGAGGCACTCTCATTTTCGTACCATTACTTGAACCAGCTCTTTGCAAGAGTTCGGCGCTCTGGCTTCGATAGGTCATAGATATTTTTCTCAGCAGTCCGTGTCAAGTTTTCCAACCGTTCAGTGTCAGCCTCATCCGCATCCTTAGCTTTCAGGCGATTTGTCGATTTGACCCCCAGCCAGTCTAACAAGGGGTCATTGGTGACTTTCTGAAACCCCTCCACATCTATCAGATCCAGCTGTCTATGTATCATGGGCCAATAGTTTCGCAAAAATTGCTGCATCCCTTTCCAGGTGGGCCCTTTGGGGGACTGGTGTAGATGCTTCATGGAACACCCAGCAACTTCCATACATTCCTCAAGCTCGCTGTAAGTTTGGCCGAGGGTTCGTGACTCTACCTTTGTCTTGCTGATGCTGCCGCTAACAACGCGAAGGTTCTTGCCTTCCAGCTCAGCTGTCTGACTGCGGCCTCCAATGCGTATGATCTTTTGAATACCGATAGCCAGAAGGTCCTTCAAGAATTGGTCCAAGGCATGGTTAGTGTAGCACCTGTCATTCCAGTTAGCTATATAATCTGGGCTATAGAAGATGTGTAAAACAATTCATACATCACGACAATTGGTCCCAGCTTTGCGCTTCGTTTGATAGAGATGAGAACTTGAAGAAGCTTGACCCCAACATGAGACTTTCCTGTACCCGGGGGACCTTGGATCATTGCATATTCTCGAGTAAGAGCAGCAACAAGTCCCTGACACTGCCCATGGTCGAGACTAGTCAAAACTTCCAGCTCTTTGAGGTCGAGAGACTCTGGGAAATATGGGTCGAGCTTGATATCGTGAGCTTTATCTTTTATGATCGAACGGAAGGGAAAGACAAATCCCAGTTTTCGGGCGTATGGTGGTGGAGGTATATTGGTCCTCCCCTTGTTCTCGTTTCGGCCTGGCAAGATCCATTTCTGGAATGCCAACTCCCCCTCGCGCTGAACACGCTGTAGATTTCTCAGGATCGGTGCAAACGTTGCAGGAATGAGACCATGGAAGTCAACCAGGGTACCTGAGATTTTCTCGGTGTAAATTTGACCGAGCAGATTTAGTTCTTGTTGCAAACATGTCGCAAGCTTCACCGTTATGCTAGGTGGATATCGACCGGAGACAAGAGTGCTCTTTACTTTGTTTGGTTGTTCTTGGGAGGAGCACTTAGTTGTGACTTCGAGAAAAAGCAGCCTTTTTTTAGTGCCTTCAGAAGTCAAGAAGCACACTAGGCTCCCTTCTTCTAGTCGGTTGGAATCTTTCCACCATCTGGATTGCTCGGCAACGGGCTTTTTGTGCAGTTGTGACGGGGCAGAGAAGGATACTGTTGCTTCGAGCTCATTTCTTCCGTTAACGAAGATATTCTGGACATGAGATGTCTTGTAGATATGCGCCCTGCTATCATTGTTCGGTAGGTAAGGGGTTGAACCATTTTGCTGCAGTAAATCCCGAAGTACATCTTTAGCAGTACCGAAGATGTCATGGCGCAGAATTCGGAATGTAGAGTCAATGTATCTCATCATAGGATCTTCGATGAAGTGTGGCTGAGAGAAGTCCGTAGATGGTAAATATTCTGAGTTGTCACTGACAATTTCTCCTTGTGTCGGAAGAATTCGAATCTGTGAGATCTCTGCTAGATCATTGTCGTGTCTGCCACCAGGGATTTCCATGTTCATTGGAAATGTTGACTGAGCTAGTCCACTCCGAGTCCTGTGACCATTCTCTGCAGGTGCTTTGGGTGGAACAAGACTGCGTTTTGCGCTCGCGACCACATTTCGCATGATTTCAATTTTGTTGTCAAGCGCCTCGAGGTCGGCTTTAGAGCATACTTCGATCATTTTGTGGGCCAAATCATACAGTGAGCCGAGAAGCGAAGGAAGGTCATCATGAAATCGTGCCCGTCGGACCCTGTGCAGAAGCTGATACAGGACATTCAATAGCAACTTCACCATATCTAGAGTGACGAGAGACCCGATGTTGCCATTCTTCTCACGGCTGTTTGTCATGCAGCGACAAACACTTTCCAGAAACCCGATTGCTCGGTCTCCATTCGGGCCGGCAAAGGTTGCGTACATAGTGCCAACAAATGAATCAACGGAGAGACAATCCAATAGGGAAGAATGGGTGATAACCTTGAGAAACAGCTCAATATATCCAGGAATAGAGCGACTCCAATTTTGGCGAGCTGTATCGATAGTTGCCAGAATGAACGCGTGTCCATCAAGATCATCATCCACGAGGTCCCTGATGAGAGACTGTTGGTCTCCTGTATTTTCACCTTCAAGGATATCAATCGCTCCTCGCCACAGTCGTAGTATTTCTTCCTGTCCTCTCTGGTACTTGGCACCGAGAGGGCTTCTTCTCAGGATCGACTTCCAGTCATAATATCGTCTCCGGGAGCTCGGATCATCAGCTATGGGATTGGGTTCGGATCCGCTAGCTCTTGCCAAGTCGTGAGAGAACTTGCAAGCTGAGCCGTAGGTGCAATTCCCACGCTGAAATTGCCTGCAGATATTGTCGCTTTGGCTACGTCTTCCGAAGTTGCTCGAACCGCCTCGCTTGCTGGTATGGCCTGGGCCTCGGAATCGTTGATTTTCACGACCAGCCATGATCGTGGAGTAGTAAAGAAAATCTTCAGCTAGTGTATCTGGCTATGAAATTTGGTCAGAATAGCTCTAGGTAAATGGAGGAAATTCTTTACTAAGAGAGGTCCGTTTCCTGATCAAATGGCCACAAAATTGGGTGAGCAGGGAGAGGAAGATGGCTGATTTTTTCAAGAAAGCAACATTGAAGCATCTCGCAATGTAGGTATTATACGTCATTGGGTCTATGGCAAACGAGACACATTGGGAAAGAGCAAACATTGATGTGTACGCGCTAGAATGTCCAAATTATCTTGATTAGGGTAGGAATTGGTCAGATATGGAGATGGCGTTTGCTCTCCTTCTGCTAGCACAGGTACCCTAATTCTTTATGATACAAACATTTTTATATAGCCAAGCCATAACCTATCCTCTAGCCAGAAGGAATATACGTATATCCCAAACCAAATGGAAGGAGGTTGGCAACTTGGGTTAGAACATTTTGTCGGGTGAAGTGTGTGCTCGTAGGTTCTCGGGGTCTTATCGCTCATTGCTTTGAAGGAAAAGAGGATTATTGGATTGTATTTTACGCTAGCTTTACGCTTTACTTCCAGTCTGAAATTATCTAGGCATCCAAATAGAAGGCACTTTTGAGGTATAGAGCTCTACGGTCATAGACAAAGATATGAAGAAACAACCTTTGTTTTCTTATATAGATTCACTGGTTTACACAGTATATCTGACTTTTGGGCCTACGCTGATGATCCTTATAGAAGATATATCTCCGTACCTTTCTATCATTTCCAAAAATAACGTTCTGATATAGGTACCATCACGTGCATATCCAAAATGACACTCACCCGTGGACGCGGGGCGGATCATGTGCTCCACCGCTTATCATTTACCTCCCCCCGCCGCTTTCTTTTGTATCTCTTTCTTCATCCTCACTTGTGAAACATGAATATCCTACACTCTACACTGTCAACGTGGCGGGACCGCCTGGCCCCAGTATCACGCACTTCCACCTTTCGCAACACTGGCCAAATCACTCCGGAGGAGTTTGTTCTCGCTGGAGACTATCTAGTCTACAAGTTCCCCACATGGTCATGGGCCGACGCATCAAGTCCGGCAAAACGTGTATCCTACCTCCCAGATGGCAAGCAGTTCTTGGTCACTCGAGGAGTACCATGTCATCGACGACTGAACGACAACTTTGCCGGAGATGCTGGGCTTGAGGACGAGATTGTGAGGGATTTCCTCTCGGGCGGTGATGGCGGCGAAGGCACAGCATCCGACGATGGAGGCGATGGGTGGCTGCGGACTGGCGGTGGCCGCGATGCTGAAGCAGATCGTGATAAGCAAGAAGCTCGGATTCGTGACGTGCGCACAGTCGATGAATCCGGGAACATAGGCGAACAGGAGGAGGATGATGATATCCCCGATATGGAGGATGAAGACGATGATGAGGAAGCCATCATCCGAGAGACAGACGATCAGTCAGGGACACAGTGAGCACTATTTCCTATCTTCAACTTCACCTTACTCTCTTTTTTAACTCGTTATTGTTATCGCTCCAGATCACTCCGCACTTATACCCTTTACATCACATACTCCAACTTCTACCGCACACCCCGTCTCTATCTATCCGGCTATTTATCGGCGTCCGAACCGCTTCCACCACATCTGATGATGGAGGATATCGTCGGCGACTATAAAGACAAGACCGTGACACTAGAGGACTTCCCATGGTTCGAGGGCAGTGTCAAGATGGCCAGTGTACACCCATGCCGCCATGCTTCTGTTATGAAGACACTTTTGGATCGTGCCGATGCCGCACTCAAGCTCCGCCGCGACAAGCTCAAGCAGACACAGTCCCGCGAAGAAGCGAACCGTGTTCTCCGAGCAGGCGGCGGATTGGAGGGGTTGGTGGATGAAACGCAGAATTTATCCCTTGGAGACTCCCACCACGCACAGCCTGGCGGGGACGAGTGGGAGATGCTGCAACGCGATGAGGAAGAACAGATCGCTATCCGGGTAGACCAGTACCTGGTTGTGTTCCTCAAGTTCATTGCCAGTGTGACACCGGGAATTGAACACGACTTTACGATGGGAGTATAATTTCTTTGAATTCGATCTAGACGCGTCTTATTCGATCTAGACGCGTCTTATTCGATCGTTACCTCCTAGGCAGTTAAATTCCTCGGCCAAATTCGACTGGATAATGGCTGGGCTCTGGCGCCCTGGTTCTCGAACTTCGAAATGTGATATGCATGACATGACATGAGTTTGGCGTTAATCTGTTTCCCGGCGCTCGGATAATTTCCCTTTCCCCCTTCGTGGGTTGCTTTTGCTGGGTATTATCTTCGCTAGCTTTGGGGTTTCCTATGGCAAATCTACTACAACCTGTGAACATTCGAGAGTAGAGACATATTGCATTGCGAAATTATAACATAGCCCCTAGCGTCCCAAAATTAGACCACCATCACTAAGTTCGCTGTGTTGAAAGTTAGTTCTGCGGCGGATTGAAGATATGAGTGGAAGGGCAGTTCCCCGGGCCCGCAAATGCATTGATATATCCAACAGAGTCAATAACAAAAGGTCGATGTGTATGATGTATAAAATTCGAGGTGCTTGGGTTGCTCCGTGCCCTAAACTGGTTCCTGCAGGTCGACTCCGCAATGAAAGCCACCATTCAATTAAAGATTCATAAAACCTCCTCAAACTGGCTCTTTCGTTTTAACTTTTTGGTCCATTTCTTCATTATTCTATTCATTTAGCGTTAGTTTGCCTCCATATTCAGTCATAGGAAAATCAGAGTGACGGGATTGATAATATATATCTCGAGTTGGGGTTACCCGCAACATATATATTTTCCACCCCAGAACCTTCCCAGTAACATTGTACATGCTTTATATACTTACATTGCCATACTTTCCTTACGTACAGTATATATATTTACTTGTAAATGCTAGTCTAATATAATTCCATGAAGCAAATAATGTGGCAAAGATACCTGCGGTTAGTATGCGAAGTCCAGGCTGATCATGGATCAAGTTTGAACATTTTTTTTTCGTATTTACTTAGAACCCATGGGTAACACTAATCATAGATGAGATACTACATGAGATGGTGGTATCCTAAGTAGTTAGATATTGATGTGTATGAGGAAACCGGAGTACCAAATCAACTAATACTAGAAAAATGTAGTATCTGAAAGTAATATATTCGAACTGAATAGAACCAAAAACACACGATGAATCACAAAACGCCGACGTAATAAATATCGACCCTCAACGAGCACAGAAGATGCATTGATCTGTGAGTGAGTACACCAGCCGACGCAGACAAATTGGTAAAAAGTAGACAAGGAAGAAGTATAAGTTTCAAAGAGATACACATATCATTAGACCACGTCAACATGGACGCTCCGGTTCATTTTCGCCATTTTTATCGTATTCTGTAAATGTCGGTGACCAGGTGTTTAGAAGAAAGCCAAAATAGCGGGGAGAGCCAAAGCAAGAACGGATCCGGGAACCAGAGACGACCCGGCATTGAAGACGGGGACATAGGGCACGGCGGAGGGAGAGGCCGATGCGGTTGGTGCGGGGTGGATGAGAGGAGTTGAGCGCACGGTGGGAACGGCGGGTGCCCATGCGGGTGGGGCGGTGGTGAGAGGGACGGAGATGGGGGTTGTGAAGGTGGGTGGGAGGATGGCGGTGATGGCAGTCCAGGTGGGAGGAGTGTAGGTCTCAGTGGTGGTGGGCACAACAACGGGGGCAGGGTTGATGGTGGTGGTGACGGGAACGGGCACGACAGGAGGCTCGGGGCAAGGGAAGCCGTCTTGGTGGTTGTGCATGCCTTGGCCGACGTCGATGTCAGGGCCGCCGGGCATGTTGATGAACACGCCGGCGCCGGCGCTTTGGTCGCTGCCGGAGCCAGGGCCGCAGGGGCCGCGGTGGACGTCGTGGAAGCCGGCGCCGACGTCGACGTTAGGGCCGCCGGGGATGTCCATGTTGACGCCGTGACCGGCGGAGGTTTCGGTGTTTCCTGGGCCGTGGGTGGTGGTCTCCGGGCCGTGGTTGATGAGCTCTGGGAATGGGAGAGCGGGCAGCTGGGGAGCTGAGAGGACGTTGGCAGGGCCGAGAGCAAGAACGAGGCACATGAGGCCGGAGAAGTTGATAGTAGTGGAGACCATTTTTGCGATTGTTGTTTTGTTCTGTTTAGAAGAGAGGTAGATAGAAGTTGTTGATTAATGAATCCGAAGATTGAAAATATAAAGATAATTGAATGAAAGAGTGTTGGAGAAAGACAGATGAATGAAGGACTGTGATCGTGGATGAAGAACAGAAGAGGAGGCGTGAACAAGGATCCTTATGTACCTTTTGGCACCTACACGATGTATACACATGAAAACTCTCGTGGGAAGAGCCAAGGGCTCTATCCAGGAGTAGATCGGTCTAGGTAGGGATATTTCTGCAAGGTACGGATTAGTCCTTGATGGAACTCATCTAAGAAAAGCTACAAGCCTAGCGATCTGCAAGGTACTAAGTCAATGCCGAGTGTCGAGGAAAGAAACTATGAGACATCAGGTCTTAGAAGGTCTGGAACCAAGTAATCGGTGGAAATTAGGGCAAGCGATATGGTTCGATGTTCGATAGTAAGGAGCTGCAGCTCTGTTGGGAGACTAGATGTGCCCTAGGCTACCAGCGTTAAGTTTATACACGAGCCTGAGCTTGAGCCACCGAGTGGTCGTAACCTAGCTAGAACAGGTTTAGCAAGTCTTTTATTGTATGCAGACGGAGTTCTTTGGGAAATACAGACACACGTGTGGCCGAATGGGGAAGAAAGGTTGTATGGATGCAAGGGATAGTGGCCAATAAGACATAAAGACACTAAAATTACTCGCTGTACGAGACTTTTGGAGCAACCAATCAGGAAATCGGATTCATATTGAGTGGATACACATCATACGCAAGGAACTTCAACACAGGTGAGTCCAAACGCAACTTGCTAGGGCTGTTGTTTCTCAAGTCAAGCAGTAACCCCAGAAACAAAGACCCGCAAAGAGATCTGAATCAGTTAAAACAAATGAGGTTGTATTGCACATATCAGCATAGATCATAATCTCGTAAGGTATTTCGCCAGAAGGGAGGAAGAAGACAAAAAGATGTTACAGCATCAAAAGCATATGCTGCTCCATAAAAAGAGCAAAATCACCAAGACATTCTCAATAGACATAATAGTATGTATCACACACAGATCACAGAGATCCAAGCATAGATGGTGGGGAATATATGCTTCCTTAGACTTGACCCGGGTTCGATAGTCCGAATGCAGTGCCAAAATTAGTTGATTTCTTGAACTTCATTTCAGGTTCCTTCTCGCCTTGATCAGGAAACTCAGACTCGGAATCACTCTGATTGGGATCAGCCGATTCAACCGAGCTGCCTAGAATATTCTTAGCTTGATGAAGGAGTTTCTGATCAAGTTCGTTCAAAAAGTTCGAGTCATGCTCCTCGTCATTAATCAGACCCAGGGGCCCCTTGAGAGCGGGGTCGTCTGGCACATCCGGAAAATAGGAGATATTATTTTCGGAAGGCTGGTGAACGTTCGTTGTCACAGGTGAAAGAGGGCCCTCCTCAGTCTGGGAGGGGATCTCAATTGGAGTCCCTTCCTGGCTGGACCGTCGACTATCATCGGCTTCGATGATCGCCATCGGGGTGTGACCCGCATCGCGAAGCAAGTTCTCATTGGGCGGACCGAGCTCTGACAGCTTCAATTTGAGACTGTTTCGGTGTTCCATGGGAGGCCTTGCAGCGGTTGAAGGGGCAGTTCCAGGGGAGGTTAGGGGCGATGGGGAGGGTGGGGTGATGACTCGTGCTACCACGGCAGGTGGAAGCGCCGTGGATTTGAGCGTGATGCCATCTAGAGTGCTGTCGAGCTTTTCGATCGGCACCGGCAGACTCACAGGCCCCCCAGAAGGGTCTACTGGTTGCGATTGGGGTGAAAGAGCCCGATCAAGGGATGGCGGATTCAGCCCACTTTCGGAGATTGGCGATATATAGCTTTGGTCTGGAGATTCATGGTCGAAGAACACCCTTGTTGGCCGATTGCCTGGACTTGTCCCCTCCCACACTTGAGCTGCAAAGCCATTCGTGTTATATCGGGATGCTCCGTTTGCAAGTATAAGCTTGGCCGCTTCCGATCCCAATTGATTTGTTTTGTTCCCTTGACTTTTCACAAGCACCTCCAGCTCGGCAATTTTTGATCGCAATAGTGCCCGTTCCTTCTCCCACAACTGTCGCTCCTGTACAAATAATGCCCTTTCCGTCTCGAAGTTCATCCGCTGGCTCTGGAGAAGGGCTCGTGATTGGTCGATATATGAAGTATCCATGGTGAATGAATTTACCAAAGCCGAGCCTTGAAATGCGGTTCCGTCGCCTGAACTGATAGGAGGAAATGTGGCTGAAACAGATTTTGTACGACGGATAGGTGTCTCGGTCGGAGAGAAGCGTACTTCTTTGTAGAGACTTCCGTGGCCGTCAGGTAACTTGGTAGACTTCATGACTGAGATTTGTTTTTCTCACGATAATGAGCGCAAGTCGGTAGATAAGGATATATTTAGGGGTAGACCCCCAGGTCCGATAGTGCCCAACGTGCAAAGTTCTAGCTTTCCACGTCGTTACAAGTGGAGTTCCTAGAAGCGGTCAATGAGCTTAGAGCACTTCCATCTAATGCCGGGATTTCATGCGAGATTCCCAATATGGCTGTCTAGCCTCGAGTGGTTAGGCTTTCGGATTTGGGTAGCTCTTAGGTACGAAATGAGAAAAAGGAGAAAGGAGAGATAAGAAAGAAAAGAAAGTACGAAGTTAAAGAGGTTAAATATTTCCAAGGTTGATATGACTATCCCCCACAAAAGACAGGAATAGAAAAAGAAAGGAAATCCCAGAATGTGAGTGGACAACTTATGACGTCAAAGGGCTCTAATAGGAAATATCATTACTAAGATGTTATGCTATTAGATATATACCTAGGTAGGTCTATGTGTAAATAAGAAATCTAAAACAATATAACAAAGCCCATATCCAACCAAATCAGTAAAATAAGAGTCCAAAGGCGATGCTCTAATTTCCGCCATTTGCGCCAAAGATGTACACCTGCAGTTGGTATCAGCGCTCAGGCACTCAAGACGTCATAACGCAGAGTCAAAACACACCGGCGAAACCAAAGCCGAAGTCCGCAATGCTAAAGACAACGCATGTATAAAAAAGAAGAAACACAATAAAGGAAAAAAGATAACACAGAAAGGAAAACAAAAGGGATACATCAGCAAAATGACGCGGGCCGGAGCCGGCTTGGCGGAACCAATTTCTTCTTGAAATCCAAAGACCAAGCCGAACATCCCTTAATAGAACGACCATCCTGTCTCGTCCTCCAAACAAACTGCTGAGCCTCATCAAGCAAATACTGATCCCCATTCGGCAACGGATAAAAGCTCACATCCTTGCACAATGCCCCGAAACGCGTAGCAAGATCGAACACCCCCCGGGCCGTGAGATTCCGACCACCCACATTCGCGGACGGATAATAGTAACGCGGATCGAGGTAAAGCAGCACACTATTCCACAGTGGAAGTCTCTCAGAGAGAAGCCGTGCTGCGGCTTCGTATTGTTTCAGTGTGCGCTTCGGCACGCCGGTTTGCGTGTGCACGAAGAAGAAGACCTCGAAGCCGACACTCCGGATGCGCGCGCGGGCGGTTGCGCTGAGGGTGTTGAGGAAGTCGGCTAGTCGGTCTAGATTGAAGGAGTTGCGGAGGAAGAGGGTGTGTGTTGAGTAGAGGTAGTCTTCGGCTTCGTCGTGGAGTTGCCGGTTCACTGCTAGTAGTTTGCGTGCGGTGCCGTCTTCGCCGACCCAGTGGGGACTCATTGATAATGCTCGGTATTGGCCGCGGGCTGTGAATGTGTTGCCATGATCGTCTAGTACGATCATTGGTTTGCTGACTAGGTAGTCGTTTGGTACGGCTAGTGCATATTCGTAGATCTTGAGACGGAGTTCGGCTGGGAGTTGGAGAAGCCGTGACGGTGGTATTGATGGCGGTATTGATGGGCGAGTAAGATTTGGCTTCATTTTTGCTGAAGAAAGAGCAAGAATGAATGTCGAGCTTTCGAAAGGGGCTATTAATTATTAGAATTATGGTTAAAAGGCAGTGGTACCACTCGGGTGTCTATGCTACATATATAGATCTCTTGCCACCGTCAGAATTTTTCCCGTAAACTTTGAATTGAAAACAGAAAACGTCAGTGCTGAATAAAAAATAAAAGTAAACAAGAATTGGCCGATATTTGCATAACATAAATGCAACGATCAGACGATGTCGACTCACTCTATGGAGTGCAATGTATCTGATTAGCATCCTCTAGAGATATCACAGCCGCATACTTCAGATGTTACGAACCCTGGATGCTTTGGCAAATGTTCAAGTCATCATATTACCGCATTGAGGTTAATTACCCTGAAGTACTGACCCTTGTATGGGTTTGCATGAAGTCTTTATGTGATAATCTTTAACTTATGTCCTTATGGGTGACCCACGTATGAGTGGATCATGTACGGGAGTATGGCAGCCATACCTTCAATTCACACGTCATCACATACATCTAAGCCAGGCAGTTCTATCCTCCATAGTAGACATTTTCTAGTGACGAAAAGAAGAATAGAGTTGAAATAGGGAAGCATGTCAGGTCCAGCCCAGCAAGCTCTTCTAGGAAAAAGTGCCCAGCCAATCTATCCAAAACTACATATCCAATCCGGCCTAGTAAAAAGTCCGAGTGTCCAAAAATGCAAGATGCAATATATTAGCCGTGGAAAATTGTCCGTCGAAAGCAGGAACATTTGTTCCACACCTGATCATCGCTGTCTATAAACGCCCAATGACCAAGCTGCTCGCAGGACAGCCAGACCCCAAGCCATGCCGATACTATCTCGCAAGACATTCAATTTGCTACCCTTGACCTCTCTCCATCCCACGGGCACTTCAGCCACAGGAATTCGAGCGAACTCAGCCAGCATGAGCATCTCAACATCGAAGATCCAGCCCTCGGAATGCATATACGGCACAATATAAGGCAGTGCGCTACGGGAGAATAGCTTGAATCCACACTGTGTATCCTTGACAGTAGCCGTTTTAGGCGGTGTCATGAGCCACAGGATCAAATGGAACGAGTGCATCAAAAAATTCCGAAGCTTAGAACGCTATCGAGCAGAGTCAGTAACCTCCCAAGCATCCCATCACCCATATAGAATATCATACCTTCACAACAGCCTCACTCCCAACCATATGCGCGCGCGATCCAACAGCAACCGCCCGCCCCTTCGCATCCTCTACATCCCGACAAGCCCCGACAAGCTTACCCAGATCATCAAACTTGCTCGCCCCATCCGCATCCGCAAAGACAACATACTGCCCACGGACATGGCGCATACCGTGCGTGACCGCCCCGCCCTTGCCGCGGTTATGAGTCAAGTTCACGACGCGGATCGTGCCAGGCGGGATATGGACGCCCTCCGCAGCCTGCGGTGTCCACGGACCCGCGTGTCCCTTGGGGTGCAGAGAGAGCTGGTGATCGCGCGCGAACCGGAACGCCACTTCCTCCGTGCGGTCTGTCGACCCGTCCGAGACGATGATGATCTCCCAGCCGCGGTCTGAGGCCGAGCCCGCGTCGCTGGTATCCCCATTCGGCTTGCGTTTGCGCATTGAGCGCGTCTCCCTTGTGCTCGGGCTGCTGGCGCGTGAAATGGCGCTGGCTGTATCCCCGTACATGTGCTCTAGGTAGTTGACGGCTTCTTCCAGCATTCCGGTTAACCGGTCTTCCTCGTTGTAGGCTGGTACTACGACGGACATGAATAGCTCGGCTGGGGTGATTGTGTGTGTTGCGGTGGGTTTGTGGGTGCTCTTTTTGGAGTCTGGGCTTTCGAGCCAACATGGGAGGGCTTCGGGATCTGTCACGGATCCATCTTTGGCGAGTGTTCTATACTTCTTTTCTTCTGGTAGGGGTTCTCGTGGGACTGGCGCAACAAAAAATATGAATAAGGAGAACTATATGGTTGTAAGAAGAATCGACAGGTCAGTAAATTGCAATTGGGGCTACATGTGTCTGGAGTGCTACCGCAAGATCTGGTACAAGCGGAGCTGGGGAATGTGAACTTACTAGAACGAATAGTCCCAGTAAACTAGCTAGGGCAGCAATGAGTAAGATCTGGACTGGGATTTCCACCACAGTATTGACGCATTGGCGACAGACCTGGCCCCAAGCTGCCGCCATTGTGGAGAGTGACGAGCTAGACGTCAGACGCGGAGACGGATATGCGGAATGGGGAGACGTAGTGATGCCCGAAGGGAGAAGGCAAGCACTTAGGTCCGAGAGAGAAATTGTTTATTCATAGATGTAAGGCAGAATGATCGCCATTTGAAGAGAGAAAGAAAGAGAAAAGGCAGAAGAGAGGGGGAGGAATGCCAGTTGATAATCGCCAGCTTGGCCTTTTATCGGCAACGCGCAAGCCGATAATCGACCCGATCCACTTCCGGGAGCCACGGTTCGTAGACACTATATTAAGTACTATATTTTACTATATTTTACTATATTTTACTACATTCTAATTTAGATTATAACCTATAAGAGTCCACATATATTGTGGCTCATTTGCCTGTCTACGTATTCAAACGCGTTTACTCCAGATCGCATATATTGCCATATACAAGAGCTAATTCTTGCTCTATCAAATGGCGACTGCTTACTATAGACATGTGCTTTCAGAATGTTCTCCAATGGTAAAAGTTAGAGGACCGTCACTACTAAAATATAGCAAAGTAAATTGACCCAGAGAGAACAGGATCACAGCCTGAACACCTGGCCATGCTTTGATCCACAATCCATAGAAACGGGACGGAAAATTATGTGGGTAATGAATAAGGGGGTAAAGGAGAATGAAAATTGAAGAGAGAACAAGGGAGCACATATATACTGTACAAGAAATGGGCCGCATAAGCCTTGTGATGTCTTTTCAGTGGTCTTCTCAGATATCATTCTGTCTAGAAGTGTCAGTTTTATAGATAGGTCGACGGCAAAAAAGACGAGAAAAGGCTTTGTGAAATGGACTTTTCTAAGTATAACCTTTGATGCGAACACTTCCCAAATAGGCAGGGACTGACACTAAAAGCTCTCATCCTTTTCTTTCAAATACTTTCCTTCGCTTATCATCTCGTTTGTCTTCACCCTGGCATTTCGCTTCCTTTCTCATGTATTTTCCGTTATTCTAGCAACAATCCTTCGTCCAATAGCAAGTTCAAAGCCACACATCGACAAGCCAAGGATGTGTTTCTGATAGCCCTGATGTACCATTTCTGGATAGAAGCGGCACGCAATGGCCCAGCCACAGAAACCGATTGGAATGGGAGTCTTGAGTTCCAAAAGATAAACCCAATCACGGTGGAATGGCATAGTCCAGTACCTGGAAAGTGAGCAGAGGTTTGCGAATCTTCCAAGTCATTATGGGACTGGATGGATGGGATCGGGAGCATCCCAGGACAGACCAGGTTCCCAATCATCACGGAACCGGACGGGTTGAAGCGAGAGCATCCCGGGACAGGCTAACTTCCATAGATCCATGGCAATGCGGCAATCCTTGGATATTTCAAGCAGTCGGGTCCTCGGGGAGCAGATTCCAGGCGGAGGCAGGCCTTCCATGGTGATTCCAGTGGGTAATCGGATTCTGATATCTGTCGTGTAGTCATGGCGACTCATAAATTTCCTGTCTGGTAACAATGAAAGAAGAGGTCCACTCTCTGGCTTCGTGTACGGAAAGTGCCCAATGGAATGATCCGCACTCAAGAAGGCTTGAGCGCTGATTCGAACAAGAACAAAATAATCTCCAGGATTCTACCAGCCCGAAATGATCACCGCCAAGACGCATAGCACCGCAACGGAGCCACCAACAGATCCAGCAGTCACCCATCCGCGTTTTCAAACTTCCTGCATCTCCTGGTCGAGGGATGTCTCAGTTCCTAGTGAGTAAGGATTGCCATAGAGGTAAGCGGGGGATTCTGCAATTGGCGCAAATTCGTCTGCTAATTGGGTTGGCATGAACCGTCGCGTTTGGTCGTAGGTCATCCAGCGGGTATACTAATATGAGATAAGAGGTCAGTTTTACATGTACTCACAGAAATATAAGGGGAAACAGACAGTTGCGATCCGCACTCCAAGCCAAAGACATCGATGTCTTCTGGGTATCACTGTCGAATGTTCTTCTGTTGGTGGTCTATTGTCTTCTGTAGGAGCCCCCTCGAAAAATGAATCTGGGTAGTAAAGCCGGCTCCATGCCTCTCCTCTAATCAAAAAGTCCTCCGGTAGCTGTTGCGTAGTCGAATCGTTAAGAAGCGGGAATGATTCGTCTTCAATCTTCGAAATGTTCGTGTCGGGGCGGAATAAGGTGTTGAGATAGGTTGCAAGTAGAGACCACGGAACAAGTGGCTCTAGTCGCTGTATAGCGGCCGGGTTGAGCGTGAGACACCACACAAATGCCATCGAGATATGCACGCTCGGATACATATTGGGTTCGCCGACTTGACCGAGAATGACGGTTAATGTGTGAAAGGCGAGAGAACTCGCCCTGAATGCAAACTGGGATGAGAGATCGCTGGAGGTGGGATATGTAGGCCCTGCAGCTGTTGCATTAGATGCCCACTTCATTGCCGCTAGGCGATCTTCCGGTGTGGGATTGCGTAACTTCACTGTGAAGTCGGCTTCCACCGCTCCGGATTTGCTCCCATATTGAAATATCGCAGCAATATTGCAAGATGTCAGTTGGACCAAATTGCAAGACGTGAGTTCGACACCTTGCTGCCCGTGTCGGCCTACCCGGCTAATCTCCTTACGCAGAGTAGCAAGAAACATATTCGCCCGAGAAACAAAGTCATTAACCGGGGCTTGCATGAAAAGCGCGCCGTGAGTAGTCACGAACGAAGTAACCAAGTTTGGCGCCGGGATATTCATTAGAGGAGCAACTAGCTGTGTCATGCTTTCGAGAGCATTTGGGAATGCGCGCACACTGATCAACGCTTTCGTGTAGTGAAAAAACTGTTGAAGAAGATCCGGACGTGCTAAAACAGCAAGATGATGTTGAATGCGGCCGTTTTCTGGGCTTCGATCTGCGTCCTGGTTATACCAATACCTCGACACCCCTGCCCAAAGTTCGCGATCCTTCTTATCAAGTTCTTCTACGGCCATTCGATACCGCGCTAAGTCACCCAGGCACTCGATCCAGGTCTCTTTGAAATCTGGCACGCTTTCTAACAGCAATGTTATCATCGAGTACGAGAGATAGATAAAGTCAAGCATGTACTCCATCGAGCCGGGGAGCTTTTGACGCAACAGCTCTAGGAATGAATGCACTCCATAGCGCCACATGCGCGCGGGCATTGCGTACTTATCGGCTAGTTCTTTGAGAACAGGACCAGCTGACGGGTGCTGGGAGGCAAGAAAAAAGTCGTGATGTTCGTAGAGTAGTGTTCGGTGTAGTGTAACGAGGGCTTGCCACTTAGCCTGTGATAATTCGGCCTTTGATTGCGCCTGTTGCCTATCGATCTCGATGCACCTCTTTTCTACCATGACAAGCCCGGTATAGATTCCCCGCACTTCATTGATCAGTTGCTCCTCGGTGATGGTGTGGGTATCCGGTTGCCTAAACAGTTTCTGATGCTTTGCTTCCTGAGCGACTGCCCCTGCCTCCATTTCTCCCGCATCTTGCTCTAATGGCTGCTCATTTCTTGTGCGCGGTGATGCTTGCTCTTGCTCTTGCGTAGTGAGTGAAAAATTCATAATTCCATCAGCATGTTGAGTATGCACAGCCGTGGGCGTTGAATGTGATCTTTGCAATTCTGGACGTGTCCCAAAACCTTGAGCTAACCGCGATTTCTCTTCCTGCCTCTGCGCGCTGATCTCAGTCTTTGGATCTGTGCGTTCATTTACATATTGAGGCATGCTAGGGTTTAGCTGCTGAGAAGCCGAGACCGGTAACCGCCGAGGCTCTCTGGAGACCCGGAAGCTGTTCCGGCGACGAGATTTGCCAACGTGTCCTATACTGGAGCGAGGGGGACTTCTGAGAGCTCGCATGCCGTGGCTACTGAGTGTTTCCATAGTGCAATCGTCTCCTAGGACGCCAGTGGAATTTGGCCGAGCACCGGATATCGGTGGCGTGGCTGAGCAGCGGCCGTGTGTACCCATCGACTCAGAGATGATCTCTTCTGACAATAGTCTTTTAATAGATCGTCTGTATGAACAGTTAAAAAAGATATGTAAACAATAAGCTGAAGTTCGCAACTTGCCTTGGTGACACGTCGCTATGGACGACTATGTCTGAGAGTCGAGTCTTGGCATCCAGCAAGCTGTAAAAACACCTTGGCCTTGCCTCCTTACGGCACAGTGGCTCGCCCATTTCAACCTAGGGGGTGGGGGGAGTTAGTTGGTTATCTAGGTCTTCAATGTGCCTGACGTACTCGGAATAAATTAATGAGAGTTAAGAATTCACATGGCATATCAAAGAGGGGAAATGTGGAATATTTATACAGAGTAAACAATTATAACGAGTGGGACCTGTTCATAATTTTGTCAAGGCAGTCTGGTAAGCACGGGTCCTTATGCCGATCGCCTATAATTCTGCCTATTTTGTGTAATTCTAATTGTATTTAGGATACGAGGTGGTTGCCTTATATTGCTTCCTTTTTCCCCGATATGCGTGGAAGGTTCGAACGACTCGAAGGATTCAAAGGCCTGTCAACACCCCCCTGGTGCCAAGTAAATTTTCTAACGGCGCCTCGTTATAGCCGCCCTGGGCACCAGGTGTATCTCCGTATTTTCCGTCTTACTTTTCTTATGCAGGACTTGCTATAATATCAGAATCTGTACAGAGTAAGAGATTGAGGTTTTATTTATAACTGCTGATCCCCCAATTACGTGAGAGCTTCACCCAACATTAGACTACCTCGTCATTGCCCAACACTCGTCTCCCAACACCATCCAGACATGAAATGCGCCATCTTATGATTAGCGCAGTCATTTAGACCAAAGTCTACACCTGTCCTTGCAGCCCTAGGGCATTGTTTGCTTCGTCACCGCTCTTTCGTTACAATGACCGGATTTGATCACACCGGTTGTTTTTGACCAAGCTTTGGCAATGACCAAGGCGTTTTAGGCCAAAGAGGCTTTGTGTTGCTCTTGATCCACCTGGGTGGGCACCAGGGGGACCCGGGTTATCTCGATTTCGCTTTCGCATTGAGCATTGACTACAAGGTGAACATCGCTGCATTTCCTCCGCCCACATTGAGTCAATTTTTTTTTGATCAAGAGCAGATCTTTCCATGTTTGATTGGTGTTCGAAGGTCATTAGATGGTGCGGACACCCATAATTAACCGCCTTGGTATTATATTGCCAGTGGATTGGTTTTCTTGAATGTCCGGTGACATGTAATCATGCAACAAAACTTGCAAATGGGCCGATGTACGGTTGCCAACGGGCTACCTAAGATGCCAGATCCATGAATTTGTTGGGCTATGAGAGTGCTCATGTGATGGCTCGACTTGGATATTCGATCTATGGTCAGTGGTTATACAGCTGGCTGATATTCCCCATATCCATCTATACGAAGTAATCTGTACCTGAGCCAAGATATAGCTATAAAATTAGAAACAGCTTTGACCAGTTATCGAACAGATGTGGCGGAGCTGACACGAGTAGAACGCTAAGATATAGGCCACAATTGAAATCATCAGCCTCGTAAACAATGTCAAAGGCTGTATGTTGTACTCCGGTCAACGGATTACTTAGGACTTTGAAATCCAAACTAGTGGACTTGGCAGGCATGATGACGTTAGTTTCTTTCTGCCTGTCAATTGCAGAAATCTCCCTAAGCCTATCATTAAGCGCCCTCAATATTTTGAGCTCTGTTCAAGAACATGAAATCAAGTATTTATTATCCAATCAGATACTCATCTTCATAAAGCAACTTGTTTGTGCCACCTAATATCCCACCTGGGTCGCATTTTTACAAGGCAACCTTGGGAAGTTTTACGCGCTCCACTTCGCTGGAACAAAGGGATCTAGCCCCCGTTCAACCTCATTGCCTCCCTTGGTATCACCTAAATTGTAGCTGCAAGGGAGTTGTGATATTGCAAGCCACACGGGAAGAAGCAGGAAAAACCCAGCGCAGTGGGCCAAACCCGGGTGAAAGAGGTCTGTTTCCCTAGATTATGGGAATATGCAAGTATGCTATGTACTCTGTAATATGGGAATCCTTGACTTTTCGATATCTTAGTGCAATAAGCTTGCATGAAACATGCGAGGCCTAGCGTTGCCGGAGCGGGGAAAGGGCTGCAGATTTCACCCGGGCAAATTCTACGCGAGTTCTAGGGATCTACTCTGTACTTACAGGGATCTTCTTTTTAAGGGGTGGTATAAAAGTATGATGTGATTGGTTTGATCGTTTTATCTGATGTTTACAAATTTCGGTGATTACACGGTCCCCCGCTCACTTTGCTTTTAGATAATCCCGGAGTTGTTTCATTTTGAGAATGATGGATGCGACCTTTACCAAGTATAGTATGAATTGGTAGGATTCATTGAAACTAGGCTTCCAACCCCTGTCCCCGGGGGGTCACGCTATACCAACTTGCATACTCTGCCGCTTTACTTTTCTTAAAAATGAGAAATTCAAGGCAAATGCCTTGTTTGGACAGGTATAACTATATCAATGCTTCTATGACCTTATCAGCAGATTCAATACTCCAGGCAGCGATGTATCTAAAAAGGCTGGGGAAACTGCTGACCGCTATTCACATGTATTTCCTGTTCTGTCGGCCGAGATAAGTTTCAATCACTTGCAGATTTCTGGTTTTGTTTTCTTCTTTAGAGCACAAGGGAGCTCGTGTGACATGCATTTTGTCACCCCTCATCTGAACCCGATATCTGTGCCCAGTCGAAGAATATAGAAATGCGCAGGAAAGACTAGCATGCGTTGTCGCCCAACGAAATAGAATTGACTCCATTCGCTTTCATGAAATCATGAGTCATTTTGGGCTAGAAGTCTTCAAGACTGTCAGGCTCATGAGATGCAGCAACCCCTGGAGAAACTTTATATTGATGACCAATTTCTGTATGGACAAAAGTCTGATCACACCGTCTATAGGACTTTGGATAAAGTCTACATTGACCAATGAAAAAGTTGCACTCTTAAGGCTAAAAGGCCCAGACTTCATTCAAAGGAATGTGTTGTCAAGTTCAAGTGCGTTTGACTAGTGGAAACTTAATGGGAGAAAACAGGGTAGGTGAGACCTATGTTGTACTCTGGTTATAATTTCTATAACATCTTAAAATGTAGATGCTATACCCAAGTCTTGAAATCATTTTCGCTACGTGCCTTGGGGGACTTGGAGATTAATCTGCAATACACAAGATGAGATACGGCCAATAGCAGCTCTGGGGCAGTTCTGATAAAATTGACCACTGAATACTGAGATGAGTAGGCGAAGCTATGCGCTAGTTAGTTGCCCTTTCTAATAAATGGTGAAATTCTACTATGAATTTCGGGACTGATAGCTCAAAAGCTATGAATGGACTATATGATGAATTCATGACACATTTGAAGTAGCAATTTCTCAATAGAATTAATTATTTAAAAAGAATACTCTAGTTGCGCGATGTCAAAATATACATTTGTATGAGAAGTGGCTAAGATCAAGACTGAACGACGTCATAACAAGAATATCCACATGTAGCGCTCACAAACCAACCTTGGAAGTCTCCCATCGTAAAACCTCATTTTAGAGAGCTTAAGCTCGACCCCGTAATGAACTCCCTCCGCCTTGCCGCGCGACACCTAAAGCCACAGCCCATCCCCACACACAAACCAACCATCAAAGCCAAAACAGCCAGAATGTCAACATTCACAATCCCGGGGTTAAACCTCAATGTGAACAGCATCCCAGACTTAACCCAAAATGATCTCCTCTCATTCCCAGCCTTCAAAATCTGGATAAAAACCCTCCAACACTCGCTCGCGCGACAAAACAACCCCTCACACGAGTTCCACAGCGACCCATACGTCCTGCGCAAAATCGACATCCAAAGCGTCGACCGCTTCGGTGGCGGCCGATTAGGCTTCATCAAACTAAAAGCCGATGTTTCAAATACCCAGGGCGAGACTTTGCCCGGCAGCGTATTCCTGCGGGGTGGCAGTGTCGGGATGTTAGTAAGTTCTACCCCCATTTCTACTCGATAGGAGGTTATTTCCCCTTCTTTACTCCGCGTGTGCAGGCAAATTGCGCCCCAGCCCCACCATTTAAAAACATAAACGTGTTTTTTTCTAATTCTATGTATAGCTCATCCTTCAGCCGGATGATATAACATCCCCGACTGAAAATGATAAGCGCGCTATCCTGACCATCCAGCCCCGCATTCCGGCGGGCTCGTTGGCGTTTCCGGAGATTCCGGCTGGGATGCTGGATGATAGTGGGACGTTTGCTGGGGGTGCGGCGAAGGAAATTCAGGAGGAGACGGGGCTGAGGGTTGAGCAGGGGGATTTGATTGATATGACTTCGTTGGCGTTGCGGGCTGTGCAAGATGATCATGGGGAGAGTTTACAGAAGGGTGTTTATCCGTCGCCTGGTGGGAGTGATGAGTTTATTCCGTTGTTTTTGTGTGAGAAGACTATGCCTAGGAAGGAGATTGAGGAGTTACAGGGGAAGTTGACTGGGCTGCGGGAGCATGGGGAGAAAATTACGCTCAAGATTGTTCCTTTGAAGGATCTGTGGAAGGAGGGACTTAGGGATGGGAAGACTTTGGCTGCTTGGGCTTTGTATAAGGGGTTGAAGCAGGATGGATTACTTTGAGTGGGAATGACATGGATATGTCGAGGTGTTTGTAGATTTGTATTCAATAGAGCTTTGTTTGTCTCAACGTAGGGTTGTACTAGAAGTCAGTGAGATATCGCATCATTACTAGTTCACAGCCTCCATTTCTTCGCCAGTTCAATTCCCTCAGCTAGCGTTCCAACCCTGGCATCAATAGCATAACCCTCCTTTTCAAGCTTCTTCATCTCGTCGAACAAAGAGCTCAAAGGAACAGTAAAGCATTCAATGAACTCGTTATCCTCAAGCTCAGGCTTTGGGTTCTTGTTTTCGGGAAGCGACATATCGACCCGGACATGGACCATATGCAAGTTAGTATTGCAAAGTCCTGGGTCTGATCCAGTCATAGATAGATGTCAGCTTTAGCTCCCAAATGGGTAAGTAATGCTGCGAGAAGAAAACAAAGCTGACAGCCACAGCTCACATACCGTTGAACATCACTGGACTAGTCTGTTCCGGCACGCCAACGTAACCAGTCTCCTCCTTAAGTTCCCGAACAGCACACTGCTCAGGCGTCTCACCCGCGTCGATAAGTCCCGCAGGAACCTCAATGACAACAGCATCAATCGGGGGTCGATATTGCTTTTGCAGGAGTAGCTCGGAGCCAGTTTCCTTGTTCAGAATAGCGACGATCCCAACGCCATCAAGGTCGATACCGGCCGGACGAGTCTGGGAAAACGCGGTTAGCATCAATTTCGAATATAGATTCTAAAACAGGCTGTAAAAGGTTGTTTGAGCTAGGTCGTAACTGAGGCGATCAAGTTCAATACACATTGCAAGGCAACCAATAGTCAAGTGGTATTTCTGATACGGCGCAGGGCAACACCCGGGTTAATGCCAGAGGCTCCCAGGACTGGAGTGCCCCACCGATGCGAACCACCATGTCGTGATTAGATGAGACTGGATCTCGGTGTATCATGTAGTTGGCACTTGTGGCTGTCCCGGGAGCGTGTCACTTGGTTACTTGCGCCGGGTGTGGTGCATATGTGCTATCGAGCAAGAGCGTGCATAACACAAACAAGTATAGAACAAGGCAAATCGTCTTACCGTGCGCTCAGCTGATTCCCATGTTCGCTCGACACCCAGAGGGTCAGTGTATGTTGTCTTTACCATCCGAGCCCAGCGGGCTTCGTTGGGGTTCTGTTTGGAAGAACGTGTCAGTCATGCGCTGGCGGATATTGGTGCTACAATCACAACTCTATTTTATTGTAGTACTGGCCCTTCATTGCGTGATGACCTTGGTGATTGGAGTAACGTACCAATGGTTCCCGCGAGATTAATTTCGACTTCGCCTGCGTGCGGGCTGACATTGTGACGGATGATCTAGATTGAAGTGGGAACAAGCCGAGACTGACTAACTGATCCAATGGAGGACTAGACTGATGTTAAGACCAGCCAATCCCAACTGGGAAGACCTTGGGGGAGGGGTAATGGCGGGGTAAGGCTGTTATCTTATCGGTTTCATCTATCGGTCTTTATTGTTTCCAAGTTGTTTTTAAAAAGGAATGCTACGCAATACAAAATACAGAGTAAAACACTCAAGGCAGCTCAGAAAAAAAAAGGCATTGCTGAATGGTATCTCATTGCGCATCAAAACTATCTATGTAATGACGGAAGATACTGAAGAATAATGCACCAGGCAAAGAAGAAAGTAGCAATAACCGGACACAGTCCGTCAAGCAAGACCACTCTTGTGTCAAAAGAAATAGAAGCACCTTTTGATAACTCAAAGTGTCAAGAGAAATAAAGAAATAAGAAAAAGAAAAAGCTCCCTAACGACCATACGCTCGCTATCATAAAATCATGGGCGTATAAGCGTCACCGGCGATAGCTTAAAGGCTCGACTGAACATCGTTGGCGAGACTTGCCTCAATATCCTTCATACGATCCTCAAACTCAGACCAATTGTACATGACAGTCTTTGCACCAAGGTCAGTCAGAACCTTAGCCATCTCCTTCTGTGTCTCTTCGCCGTTATAGCTGCCAACATAAGCGATAACGGGAATTCCGGCACGAACCGCCGAAAGAGCACCAGACTTGCTGTCCTCGACAGCAACAGTTTCACCAGCAGTCTTGCCGACCTGCTCGAGAGCATACAGGTAGATAGCTGGGTCGGGCTTGGAAGTCGGCTTCGGCAGAGAAGTGGCAGCGCTGAAGATCTTGATCCCGTCGAAGAACTTGTCCTGGCCGACCCTCTTGATGGAAGCAACCACGCGACGCAAAGCGGAAGAGGAGACGACGGCAAGACCGTACTGCTTTGACGCATAAAGCTTCTCCAGCTCCTCGGTGGCACCGATACAGGCCTTAGCCTTCTCCTCCAACTTGGCAATGACTTTGTCCTCTTCCTTCGTGACATATCCTTCCAACTTCTCCGCATCAATCTCGAAGTTGTACTTGTTCTGTAGCGAGACCATCATGCCACGGAAATTTTGGCCGACAAAATCTTTGATGAGCTGGTCACCAGTATAACGGTCGGGGATGCCATGCGCTTCCAAAATCTCATTGGCCAGCTCGGCGCAAGCCTCGAAGGCTAGCTCCTCTGAGAGGACCAGAGTGTTATCGCAATCAAAAAAGATTTCTGTGATCTACAGTGCCGATTAGCATTGGTAGCTCTCTCATGAGAGATACCGCTATTCTCATACCTTGCCCATGATGAAGATACGGAGATTAGATCCGAAGTGTTTTGTTTATCGGGGGAAAGCAAAAGTGCAATGTGTGAAGTGTTGGTCTAGTATGGTCTAGGAGTATAGTGTCAAAATAAAAGGGGGAAGGCAAGGGAAATTAGGCAAATGAAGTATTTAAGTCAAGGCAAGAGCTTGACCCCAAAAATGACGCCGCAATCACAATCCATAAAGGGAAACCGGGCCAGAGCGGGAGGGGCTGGTCACTGACGTGGGGCCAATTGTACCAGATACTTGGAATTGGCATATGTCATATGTGTAAAATCAGGTATCATGTACCTCATGTCTAAGAAAATGGTCAGATATTGAGCCAATAAAAGCACAGACCTATAGTACACTAGTCCATTTACGTCTTAGCCCTTTCTACTCCAGGCAGGTGGGATAGTTTCACCTTGCGTTTTTCTCGCATCTTCTCGCCTTTTCTCACCGATTCGTTTCAATCCGATGTTTGAAATTTGTCTTATACAGTCTCGTGACTTGATATTCCATTATTTAAGACTCTACTCAAGTCCTCTATGCAAGTTACTTTATCACCTGATGTTTAGGCGTACAAGATTCTAGACTGCATGCATAATGTACCGTTTAATTGGATACTGGATACGACTACTCCGTACCTACACATAATCCTACTACTCCGTAGGTCAAAACTCATGCACGGTCATGGCTCCGTCTTCTCATTGCCTTCCTGGTGTCCTCCAGGGGGAGGCCGAACTCCAATTCGCAAAGAAAGCCGGGGCACGGAAAGATTGAGAAACATACATAAGCATGCAGGCCCGATATTCCGCCCGTTTGGTCCATATTCCCGTGTCATCTAAAATAACTGTCGCGGTCAGATACTATCAAATATGCATTCGGACGTTCAAAGCATGCTTGGCGGGTTGGGAGAGAGAAACCCGACAGTATACCTCGGCGCGGAGTAAACTATTCCAGTTCCGGTGAGCAATGAGCGATTTGAATACTTTATGCCTCATTCTATAATCAGCTTAATAGGTTACTCTATTATCATCTCAGTGCTAGGGGAGCTGTGTCCGAGCATACCTCATACTATCATTCTCAAAGCGCGACAAGACCAGAATCTGGCATCGCATATTCCCTGAATTCTAAGCAAATATTGTATCAAGTTTATCATATTAATCCCAATAGTCAAATTGATTTACATATTTACACCTTGTAGCACAACTGTATACTCCGTATGGAGTAAATCGCACGAACCTGGGTCCACCTCTTCCATCCACCCACCATGATTGGCCACACTCAAAATCCCAGACCTGCGAATTTCACAACGGCTTTCCATTCACCCCCCGACCAAAACCAACATAAACACCTCATCAAATCAAATCAGTCTAAATTAGCACGACATAAACGGATATCGGGCCAAATAGCCACTTTGAACAGCCCGAAAAGCTGAAACGACTCCTGGTACAACCCCAGAGTACACCCCGGTATATTTGAACCCGAAATATACTTGGCAATAGCTCTAGCCAAAAGAAAGCATGGGGTCCTCCGATACTTTCCCGACCCTAGAGTCCCTTCATTTCCCGGAGCAGCTGTCAATTTCCCAGACACTTTCGTCTCTGCGTCGATCGGCACTGTCCGTCGCCAATCGGCTACAGTCTATTGAGACAGATGCTACCTTTGCACAAGAGGTAGCCGACCATTATGGCTTACCGCTGGTTGCCAATGAACGCTGCGGAAGCTGGTATATCCCGCCGACGGCCAAAGCTGGCAGTGCTTATTTCAAAAGCACCGATGGCCACACCGGTCAGTGGGATTTTAGCTTTCGTAGGCTGAACTTGCAGTTGCTCCCGCTAGCTAGGGATCATGGGGGGTTAGTCTCACATTTCCACTGTTTTTTTTTGCTTGTGGAATTATATCTGTGTTGGAGTGACTTCGGTTTAGCTTCATTGAACCGCGAAGTATAAACCATGGCCAATCCATCACTACATGATCCTCCCAAGAGCCCATAAAAGAACGCAAAAAAGCTGACTATATTTTTTTTTTCGCAGCTGTGTAATTGTGGACTCAACTCGCCGAGGCAAACGTATGTATCATCCCTGCACCATTCCGAACTAGAGAATTATCCCGCTCCCTTACCCCGATAGTCTCTATGCATAAGGCTACGGCAATGTCTAGAGCGCTCTATTAACCAGTCCCTAGTGATGCCAGATGCATTATCAAAAACCGTCCCAATCTGGAGCGCCGTTCTAAACAGAGCCCTGTTCCCATCCGCAACTGCATACCACCCAGTCCGCCTTCCACCCAATTACTTGGGCGCATCGGAAGAAGCGCAGATCGAGAATCGAATCGAAGGATTCGTGCATTCTCTAAAGGTACGTATGCGTAACATTAACGTGCCCTGCGCAACCCATTTTATCACACCCCCTCATTCGAGAAAAAGTGCTGATCCTTAATACCCACCAGAGCCTAAAGCTCGATCTGGATAATCTGCGAGAGCAACTCGGCAAGCCCATCGAGATCGCCTGGGCCAACAGGACATATTTCCACCCGGCAGATCTGCACACGAGTGATGAGTATAATCTACTCGTACTATGCTCCGCTTCTAGGCGCGTGCATGGCGCCGAAATGTCCGAGGGCGGATACATCCAAGGCGCGGGCGATGATAGCGAGGCGTGGGCGCATGGGCTGACGCCGCCTGTTTTCTGGGCTAATCAGGCTATTTTGAAGAATACACCCGAAGACGAATTGCCGGAGCTAATTGACCGACTGGTGGCTGAGCATAAACTGCTAGATGTGGCTCAGGACGCGACGCTGATCTCTCCTACGCGCAATTTGTACATTGGCTCCACGGGTGAGGGCGTCAGTGCTGAGAATCGGTATGATCTTGTCATTGACTGTAATGGGAGTGCTGCGGCTGGGGAGGGCAACGCAAAGCGGCTTAATTTGAGATGTGATTCTGGGAAACTGGGAAGTCGGGATCTACGGAAATGCCTGGATAAGGTGCGTGACTTTATCGGCGCCCGTCTTGGGGCGGATCCGACGCTGTCGGTGCTGGTTACCTGCGAGAATGGGAAAGATCTCTCGGCAGGGACGCTTCTGGCGATCATTTGTCTGTTTTATAACGGCGAGGGTATGTGTGCAATGTCCCAGATGGTCTGGTGATGGATTCAAACGCTATGTGAAGACGTATAAATAACTAATTGTTTCTCACAGGTGGCTTCGATGCCTCACTGAGCAAGCGCGCGATCAGCAAGCAGTTTATTCGACAGCGTCTAGCCTGGCTCGTGTCGTCAAAACATGACGTGAACCCGTCTCGCGCCACGCTTCAATCTGTCAATGCTTTCCTGATGCAGCCGCCGGATTATTGACCGTGAGCAATGGTTACATTTCATCGCTTGGTCGGGCCTGATTGGTTTCGAAGCGCCTGGGTATTAAGAACATGCTCTAGAGATCGCTCATTCGTTGTCCACAGCCTCCACAATAGCACCGGCACTGCCCTGGTCAAAGGAATCCAGCAAGGCCATGTCCTCGACGCTAATATCGAAGCCGAACACATCCGCGTTGGCCACGATTCGTTCGGGGTTGTCGGTCTTGGGCAAAGGCACCCAGCCCTTCTGCAGCGCATAGCGGATCAAGATCTGCTGAGTGGTCTTGCCGTATTTCTTTGCCACCTCCACTAGCGTTGGGTCGTTGGCTTTATAGTTTCGCACGATGGGCGAGTATGCCTCGACAATAATGCCATTCTTCTTGCAGTATTCGTCGATGACGCGCTGCTGGCACCACGGGTGGAGCTGCAAAAATAGAATGTTAGTGATCACACTCAAACCAAACTATCCATATAGAGAGAAGAGTAGTAATAGAAGCAAAGCACCTACCTCGATTTGATTAACATGAGGCGGGAACACCTGGGCATATGAGCGCATCTCCTCGATGTGCCCCACACCGAAGTTGCTAACACCGATACTCCGCGCCTTGCCCTCTGCGTGTAGCTTCTCAAGTGCCTGCCACAAAAGCTTCCGCCCAGCGGAGCCAGAGCTGGAGGAGTGAATCAAGAACAAGTCGACATATCCATCTGCGCCGCCAATCTTGTGCACGGAAGCTAGCAATTTATCGTAGGTAGCTTCGAGTGAGGCTGCGGGGCTGAGGATCTTGGTCGTGACGAAGATCTGATCTCTGGGCACGTTGGTGGTTCGCAGAGCCTCGCCGACTTCCGCCTCGTTGGCGTAGAACTGTGCTGTGTCGATGTGTCGGTAGCCTGCGTCCAATGCCTTTAGGCAGGACTGCACGCACTGGTTGGTGGGGGAGCGGTAGACGCCGAAGCCGAGGCGCGGGATGCGGACGCTCGAGTTCGGAAGGGGGAGGAGGTCGGTAATCTTGAAGGAGGCGGACATATTGGAGTTATTGAGAGGTTATTGTAGTTTGCGAAAGGAAAAGAAGTCGATTGAGAGTGTTTCAAAAGAATAATCTCCTAGCCCCGCTTTGCGAAAATGAGGTCATTTTGGATGACTAATACCGAGGTATCGCGTGCCCAGGGCAGGTACAACATCACACTTCCTACAATCTACAGTACCTACGATGGTCAAGTCTAATTATGTAGCTATGTGGTTAATTATTTGCTAAGGTATTATAACATGGATGAGTATTACACATACTAGATACATAATGGAAAGAATATTTAGCAATATATCTGGAGTTATCACGTAGAGTAATAGCGCCATAATTCAGAATAAGTAGTAGTTGACTAGGTATCTACTCTATATTATGAAGTCTTGCGACAGTAGACTGTCGGCCCTTTAAATATGAAGGCAATAACTGTATCTATATGTTGTAATACTTCATTTTGCTGCATGCGATAAGGTTCGGACGAACATTGGGAAGAGCATCCAGTCAACTTTATTCATCCGATGACATCCAGGCAAGCAATATTTCGTCCGAACGCAAAAGTCCTATTATGAGTCAAAAGGAGTCGTAAGCTATGTCCTATCTTTGACTAGTCCGACAAGCTAGATGCTCGCCAGCTTATTACTTCTCCCGGCATATAAATCCAACAATTCCCAGCTCCCTCCGTCTCAACCAAGTCAGACTTCTTCTCACCAGGGTTAACCCACCTATAAACTTCGTGCAGCTTCGAAGAATGACATCTCCTATCAAGGTCGGCGTTATTGGCGGTACTGGAAACATTGGCCAGTCCATAGTCAAGGGACTATGTTCTTCAGAGACCAACTTTGTACGAAGCCCCTCAAACCCATTTATGAGAGTGCTAACTAACTATACAGGCTGTCACTTCTTTTACCCGTCAAGCCTCGATTGGTAGTGAAGCCAATCAAAAGCTCCACGAACAAGGGGTTTCCATCGTGGATTATGACCTAAGCCAACCTCGGGAGACTCTAGGAGACTCTAGATTTTGCGTATAGTGCTGGGCATGCTAATCTGAGAGCTCGCCAGTCCGGTAGCTGTAGATAGCTACGGATTTGGTTTGATAGTTCAATTGGGAGGTTCGCAAGCATCTTGATTAGGCTTTCCCTTATGTTTAAGCGTGATTGAAAAAGAGAATGAAGAGAGGTGTCGCGGGTGATGGAAAAGGGAATGAAAAGAGAGGTCGTAAATGACAGCAAAGAGAGTGACCTCGGGAAGAGAGATGCATTAGGTAGATAGTACTCCGTATATGGCCTTAGACCACAAACCCGTCCACGGGGCGCCTGAATATATAGCACCTATCTTCGACAAATTTTACTCCCAACTCTGATACACTGATATAAGCACATTGCTTTGAAAACATGCAATAAACCCCTCCCAATACTCCCTAATTCAATGTCGACCACCTGCCGCTAAGACAGTCCAGCCCCATAGCAGGCCCCGAGGGAGGCCCAGTCTGAAGGCGACGAATAAAGTGAAGATCCGCCCTCTTATATTTAGCGGAGCACAAGAGACAAATACAATGCGCATTCTGCCGGGATACGCTATATAAATGTGCCAGTTGAGCTGGAGTTCACGACAAAGCGGATTCCTGAGTGGTTGTTGGATGTCGCTATCAACTTAGTCATGTCATGGCTCCCGAGGTCTCTTGTTGTCCAACCCCCAGCGGAGTGCTATAGCCAGCTGTCTAAGCGAATCAGCATAGGCTCTCCTTAGACGGATGCACCCCGCCACTGGCAGATATGAATGCGTACGACTCGGCCAGTCGAGGTACTATTGGTATTGTACTTCTGTCGAGCTTGACATATGCCAGATAGGCTATTAACCCTTTAAATTGGCCATACGTTAGCATAAGCTACTATGTAATATTCCCGTTCAGGAAACATGTCATACATACTCGGTGCCATTATTACGACCACTAATAATGGGGTTGACTCTTTTCTCCAATAATAGCGATAATCCAGAGCAACATGACGTGAACAGTATATACGTACAGATAAAGTAAAGAAATGGCTGATGGGCATGATGGACAAAGTCATATTGATGGGGTAAAGAGACAAAGGCCTGAAAGACCTAAATGGGCAAAGAGAGGTCTGATAAACCTACCCAAACGAGAAAGTCATACCTTAATGAACATAACGTGCTGCCTTATAATGCTACATAGTTTAGCATTCATAGTATATGAAAAATACATATAACTCGAAGCTGAATCACATCATCTTGTGACCACATACCGATTTGCTAATCTTTCTCGAATGTTTTGGTTAAAATACCAAGTTGCCAATATAGCCTCATCCAACATTCTCAGTAGATTCTGTTGACTTTTATGCTGAAACACGGCGATATCAGATACATACCCGACGTGGGGGTCAACCTATAGCTTTCTATTGGCTATAAGTCGACCAAACATTTGGAAACCTTGGAAATGGACTATAAATTGGTGAAATGTCGACAATTGGAAATCAGAATGTTTGGGCAAGGTTGTTCTCGATGTATTAAGGCATACTCGGTGCCCAACGCCAACATGCTCACTTGAAACTCCATGTCAAATTTCAGCTAATCTTGCATTTAGTAGCCCTTATCGCCTATTAAATTTCCGTAGACAAAGGGGGTCAACAATACCTATACTTAGAAGTGGGTCCACAAGGGATGCATCAAATTGCCTGATATTTTTCCTATGTTATATTCTGTCTATTCCTTATATTTGGTCTAAAACTGTTCTTCTCGAGTTCGAAAGAAGAGATACGGTTGCTCGGGTGATCTCCAATTCCGACTTGCGGGAGAAACAAACCCCACCTCTATTATTTCCCCCCCCTTTGTGCTCCATTGTCTCCAGTCCGAATCGGAAAGTCTTTAAGCCTCTTTGATCACCCTAGTCGTTTCTTCTTTTTTTTTTTTCTTTTTGCTGAATCCTAAACCCTGTTCACTGTCAGCTCCCGATACTATCATTGCCAATCGGCCCTGGATGTCTCCGTAATTGAAGATGTTGACGGTTGAGAAGCAGTGGATTAACGTGCAGCAAAAGACCTTCACCAAATGGTACCTTCCCTGTCGATTTTATTTTCTCTCGGAACTTCAACTAATGAGCAATATTAGGCTAAATGACAAGCTGAAGGCACGGAGCCTGTCCATCGAGGACTTGGTCACTGACCTCTCCGACGGCGTATGTCCCACTGCTGCCCCGCTCCCGTCTTTTGGAAATTGCTAATCGCGTATTAGGTCATTCTTATTCACCTCCTCGAAATCCTTGGAGGAGAGTCCCTCGGTCGATATGCCTCGAAACCTAAGCTGCGCGTACAACGCTTCGAAAATGTGAACAAAAGTCTTGATTTCATCAAGGGAAGGAGAATCCAGATGACGAATATTGGAGCGGAGGATATTGTGGACGGTAATCAAAAGATCATCTTGGGCTTAATCTGGACCCTGATTCTACGATTTACCATCAGTGACATCAACGAGGAAGGCATGACTGCGAAAGAGGGATTGCTACTCTGGTGCCAACGAAAGACGGCTTGCTACGACGATGTGGAGGTCCGGGACTTCTCATCCAGCTGGAACAATGGCTTGGCCTTCTGCGCGCTCCTCGATATCCATCGACCCGACCTGATCGACTACGACTCACTAGATAAGAGTGATCACCGTGGAAATATGAAACTGGCCTTTGAGATCGCATCCAACGAAATTGGCATCCCGGACCTACTCGACGTGGACGATGTATGCGACGTGCCGAGACCCGACGAACGATCCCTCATGACCTACATCGCCTACTGGTTCCACGCTTTCTCGCAATTGGAGAGAGTCGAAAATGCTGGGCGACGAGTGGAGAAGTTTGTTAACAATATGCACGGCGCATGGGATATGCAGAACTCATATGAGCGCCGAGTAAAGGAATTGTTGCGACTGATCCGTGGCCAGCGCGAACACTGGAAAACCTCCTCGTTCGAGGGAACAT